TTTTTGTGTTTTTAATTCTAATTTCGTCGGAATTGATGAAAACTATCTAAAATGTACAATTAATAGAGGAAATTGTCCTACCGTAACAAGAAATGCGCGCAAAGAATTTGAGAATTTTAGGCACTTTCTGAGGATGCATTTGTCAAGGAGTAGCGAAAGATTTCCAAAGATGGATATTTTCCCCTTGTCCCCCAGTGTTTTTAATTCTAATTTCGTTGGAATTAATCAAAACTCCCTAAAATGTGCAATTTTTAGAGGAAATTGGGCCATGTCAACAAGAAATGCGCGCGAAATTTTAGGTTTTTAGGCACTTTCAGGGGATGAAAGGGCATTTATAAAGGGGTGGTGGGGAAGATTTTTCAAAGATAGATATTTTCTCCTTGTCCCCCAGTGGTTACGCCATCGGGCAGCATAGATCAAAGGAGTTATGACAGTTTTTGAAGTGGAGAAGGGGTTGCATGGGTGTTGTGAGTCTGGTCATTATATCTTCCTTTTTATTCTTGTCTTTATTTTTCTCTTCTCTTTTTCTTTCCTCTTATTTTCCCTTTTCTTTCTATTTCTCTCCCTCTCCCCCTCTTTCTTTTCTCTTATTACCCAGCCCGGTACGACGGCTTGGTCGGCCCGGTAAAAACCGTCAGGGGAGGGGCAGTTTCCCCCTGTCCCCCCCCCGCGCCTGTTACGACACTGGCTAACACGCCAATCATCCCCCCCGATGAAAAATATTTTTCTACGCCACTGTGTACAAGGCAGCTGCTGGCAAGTTGACAACAGCCTTTTGCAGTAGTACCCTGTCTTTAATCTTTGTGTATATATATTTGTATTGCCTTTAATATATATAATGTCATATTGGTTAGTGACTTATGATGTACAATTGTTTTCCCTTTCATTATATTGTTTTTTTTCACAACAATTAAATATAAAAAACAAATCATTGGTAACAGATTAAGCCGAATATAAACAATAAATACATTTTTAATCAAAGTATGCAAAAATATTTTCATATGGAATTTTCAATGTTGCTTTTTACAACAAAAAAGAATACAGTACCAGCAAAAAAAATACATCAAAACCATCACAATTATCTAAACACTGCTTTTAATCATAATATTTACATGTACATTTAAATTTACTTACTTATCAATGGAATGGGTTGTACATTTTATTTTGTATCAAGGTATTTTAAAGCCATCATTTTAAAAATATTTATACAATCTTACATACAATAATCTAGGAGTGATAGAAACAACTAAATATATTTACATTTATGGCCATTTAACAGATTTTATTTTAAAAATATCTCATGCATGGTGAAATCTGGTGAAACACTTCAAATATCCAATTAAAAAAAATAAATTGCTCAATAAAAAAAAACCAAGTACATTATAAAGCAAAGAAGTCAGTCTGTAAAAACTGATTAAACACAGATCAAAACAATGGACTTTTTGCTAAGCCCCGCCCCTTAAATATCATATTGTTGCTAAGGTCCACAAAATGACGGCATAATTCAAGACCGATGGTTGTCACACTGCTTGAGTTTTTGGGCATGACACTTTATCTGCATTTGTCTTTCAATCAGTTAGAGTAAAATTTTGCTGAAGCTGCCCCTAACCAAAATCTGTTGTATCGTAGCTTTTGTAAATGTGCATTGAATAAATAAATGAGTATAAATGAATACCTGGTAGGAAGTAAATTATTCAGAATGAAATTAGTAGTGCTTATTGCACGCAAAACTAGGAATACTCTCCCATGGAGCGAATGAGGTTTCATGTTGTAATAATATAATAATATGCAGAAATTTATAACGTGCCCATTCAAAAAACATTATCAAACGCGCAGAACGATTAACCCAATTAAAGCGATTTTGTAAAGAAAAAAGTTTTCAATTAGTTTTGTGTATGAATCAAAACTCTATTATAGCTGTATTAATCAGTGTATCTAAATGAGTATGTAGCACTTTTTTGACTAACAATGTTGTGTATGATTGATTCTCAATTCAATGATCTGGGCAAATAGAGATGTGAGAATCCGATAAAGAGCACTATATAAATGCAAAAATAAAATTTTTAATAAAAAGTATAAAAATAGTATTATCTAATAATAATTTATTTTATTGATAACACAGAATTTGGACGAATTTGTCAGCTGATACATGTGTGAGAAAGGTTTCTCTTAAGTTTGCTTAATATTATATTGCTACAGGTGAATGGCTGAGCGGTCGGTGCAGCAGCACCACAATCTACACCCATATCATCAGGGCTGGTTCGAGTGGCACGCTCGCCTATGGTTCTCGTGGTAGAACAAGTTTCTTAGATAAGGACTATAATCTTATAATAATTGACACATATGCACTAAAAATAACAAAATATTGTATATATTTCAAGATCAGTAGGGTCACCCAAGTATACAGGTCCATACAGTGCCTGTTGTGGACAGATGAGTAGCGGGCACAAGTTTACCGGAGAGCTCAGATATGAAGTGACCTTAAGGGAGAAGTAAGTTACTGTATGAGCTAGTCCACGTCTCGACCGCTTTGATACTTCGGTGCTATGTAAATCTAACTACATTACATTATATTACAAATTTTTAAATCTTCTTCGTAAGACATTATAAATAGACAGATACCAAATTAGACTAAACACTTTCGCTTATCAGATAACAAGATGGCACAATGGACAAGTGCTGAAATTTCTGATCTCATCATCATATGCGCGGTGTTTACAAGCTGCGCATGACCAACTCTGGTAATCCATTATAGGTCGCCCTGTGACTATACATCTGGAAAATTTAGTGTCGCAGCTTGGACAAACTGAGGACCTGAAAACGGAAAGACAAAAGAATAAATCAAGACATACTATAGTGCTTATATACAGAAAGCTATCACTAAAGCAAATGAACATGTGAATGAATAAATGAATATTAATAAATGAATATAAATGAATGATGAATATTATAAATAAATGAATATATGAATAAATGAATATAATAAATATATGAATAAATGAATGAATAAATGAATAAATGAATACATGAATAAATGAATAAATATATAAATGACATACCAATCAGGAATCATGCTTCCACAGCTGTTACATTCCGCCTTGTTAGTGCGCGAGTCCTTCGGTGGATGTCTGTTGATTAAGTGAATAATATGATAAATATGTAGCCAAGCAAAACAATAAGCAACTTGCCTACTAGACAGAAATCGATTTTGAAGCTATTTTGCTTCAAGCCAAGTCATTTTTTGGGTTTTGTTTGCAGTGTGGAGGCAACAGTATACAATTGTTGACAGTTCCCTCCAGCTGAAACACAGCTGTTAAATCATCAATGAAATAAGTAAGCCACCACATATGTGTACCAACATCTGGCAAAGTAATTAGAATACTGTACCACACATAACATATCAAACTTTCCCTCCAGCTGAAACACAGGAGACTAGTTTAGAAAAATTATCCAAAGATATTCATGGTTCAGCACACTCAAAATGGCTACTATTGATTTAGCTGACTGATACTACGAAGAATGAATGTAGTTACACATTAGATGGCAGAAAGTTGAATTGATACTCACTTTGTGAAAATTTCCAGGGCTAGTTCTTCATACTGCTGCCTTTGTTCCTGTGTAAGACTCTCCAGGGATTCAAGCTTGATAAAAGCCTTTGAGCATGTTCCAAACGCCCTATTTGCACAGGCAGCTAGGCCTAGAAGTGAGTGGATGTCTGCTGCAGGTATGATGTCATCAAATTCACAGAGATATAATGCGGTCTTCATACTGGCATCAACATAACCTAAAAACAGGTGTACAACTTGCTGTTAAATCATTAATGAAATAAAGTAAACCAACACATGTGAACCAACAGCTTTTAGGCCCATCCGAAGAGCAAAGTAATCAAAACATTGTACAGTTGAACTTTCCTTAAAGTTGAATCCAAAATGCCATTGAAAAATTGTTCGACTTAGATAAAATTTGACTTATTGTTTGTTAATTAATGGAAAACACAACAATCTGGCATGTAAAATAAGTTCGACTTGAGTTAGGCAAAGTCGACTTAGGCAAGTTTAATTGTATTTAGTATTTATAATTATTATTATTATTATTTATTATTATTATTATTATTTATTATTATTACAAATTAATCCTATTATTGTAGGAAGTTATAGTAGGTATTTTCTTGATTTTTATTCATACCTTGATAGAGTTGTCTTTGAGCTAGTAGAAAGAAATGGTAAGCTTCGGCACCACGCCAAGCGTTATCAATGAACTTAGTATCGCCAGACGCTACTGCATCTTCCTCAAGTAAACCAGCCAAGGCTGAGCTTGCCTGTAGGTAAATACAATCAATGTTAAAGTAGCAGGTCATAGTTATGACATTCCATACACTCCAGAATACATAGCCAATCTCAACATGAAGAAATCAGGATGTTTACAATAGGGATTATTACTTGAATATTTTGTAGTTAAGAATGTTTGTATTAAGGAAAAGATTCCAAGCAAAATATTTAACATGATCATACTGAAGTAGACCAAGAAGGGTAAAAGACGAAATATAACAATTAAACAAAGAGATGGATATGGGAATAAAAAACTATCTACATGATGATGTGTAGAACACAGTTGTAATGGACAGCAGAAAAAACTAATGTATTAAATTTTCTTATTTACTTTAATTAGAGTTGAACTTGCCTATGTCAAATCCAAAATGGCACTGAAAAATTGTTTGACTTCGTTAATTAATGGAAAACACAACAATCTGGCATGTAAAATAAGATCAACTTATAAATTATTCGAGATAGGCAAATTCGACTTAAGCAAGTTTTACTGTATTTCAACAATGTACTGACCCCTCTTTTTGCTTGATTATAATTTTAATCTCAATGCTTTAGTTAAAATCAATGCAAACTGAGTGCAGAAGGAAATTGTTTCATAGTTAATGTAAGCTCTGTCTATATACTGTCATGTGACATGATGTCATCATGACCATATTTAGGCATGTCACATGTTTTTGTCAAACAAAATGTGATAGTCTGCACAGGGCTTTATACTCACATCAGCTCCTTTGCGATTTTTGGCTTTCAGACGACTTGATAGTTTCATCTTTTCATGGTAGTTTTCAATCTTTAAAAAAAATATATTAAAAAAACATAATAATATATGAAATAACATTAATAATTACTGTATAACCAATTAATATTATAAAATTGCTGTTTAGAATGTAAACGTACCAATAGAGCTGCCAGTGTATACATCTTCTTAGTTCTCAAAGGCTTCACTTTCTTTTTGGCATTCTCCTCAGCAATCTGAAATTTTAAGAAATTGTTGTTACAAGCATGTTTTTGGAGTACAAATAGGCAATATAGATTAAAACCAGGGGTGGATCCAGAGATGTCCAAAAAGGGCGGGGGGAGGGGAAAGTGGGGCCGATCGAGACAACACTACTATATGGTAGAAAATTTTGTTTCCTAGAAGCCCAAAAATAACCTCTGAGGCATTTTGGGCGATCAATTATTTCTTTTCCCTTCTTTTTTTACTTTCCAAAGGGTGGGGCAGGGCCACCTCCCCACCCCTCTAAATCCGCCCCTGAAAACTGAATGACTTACAAATTACTTACTTACTTATTGGTAGATTAATTACCTACCACCTAGCTAGTAACTAATCAACAATCTAGCTAGCTATATCTTGTTAGTAAGGTGCGACCTTACCTGGAACATGAGTTTAGCCGCTTCTAGGAAGTGATTAGCCTTGCGATACAGCTCAATAGCTTGTAGTTTCTTGTCCTTGTCCAACAAATGGGCTGCGTACTTGGCCAATAGGCTGTCAATTTCTTTGATGTTGTGGTTCTTAGCCAGCTCTACCGCTTGATCCCATTGGTTAAGCTCAACACAAACATCAACTGCTTTCTTTACTTTATTGCACTAGATAAAAATTATATTTGTTACATTGTACCAATAATAGAAAAAGTGTAGGTATTCGTGTTTAATGTAGTGCCTTGCTTACCACACCAAAAAGTTTATAGGGGAATGACGTTTATTGACTTCAGCTGATGATTGGCCAATGGCTACATATTAATCCATGACAAATCAGGAAATTTGAAAGTGGTTTAACTTGTTGGTTACTACATCGGCCACCGCTACGTAGTGTAGTGATTAATGTAGTGGCAATGTATCAATTTTATTGAAACAAACCAGGCTTTGTAATATCTTGTGTATATCTTACCTTTAGATATGCAGTGACAGCCTCTTCACACATACCAACTGTCACAAACATTGCAGCAATTTCCTATAGAATTAAAAAAAAAACTGTTTAAATGTACACCATTTCTGAGTTTACAATCACAGTAGACAAGGCAGTATTCAACATTAGGGCAGGTATGGGTCATTAATGTCAGTCTGTCTGCATGTATTGTGGGCTGCCAATATAATATGTCTGAGCTCGTAACCATAGCCTACTGAGGCGGAAACTAAGCTGGAGCAATATAGTCTGGGTATTTAAATCTGGCCAGATTCTCCTAAACAAAGCGTACCTCTATGTAAAAAATTAAACTTTGAGGACCAGAATAATTAAATACAATAGTACAATAAAATATTTTTACATAAGCTTGAGAAACTGATAGTTTACAGCATACAAACGATTCTTACTTGAAAAGACATTCAAAGTTATTATATTTTTGTGTATCTAATACATGAGGAATCAGTAAGTTTATAAGTAGACATTTGCAATTTATACTTGACAAAAAAGTTAATATACTTTTGTGGGTAAAATATATAAGAGGTCTGATGGCTTACAGGGAGCAGTTTGTGGTTTTCAGGCAGAGCATCAGCCAGCTTCTGAAGACCACTGAAGTCCTCCAGCATATAGTAGCACTCTGCAAGCCTTTCTTGATTCCTGCCCTGTACATAGTACGTAACAGCCTGTTGCCATTTTTGTCTGTCTGCAAAGTAATCACCAATGGCATTCCAGGCTAGCTCGAGTTGGGTATCATCCCCTCCACCTCCACTCTTCAGGAGCTGGACTACACGGAACCAATCGCCAAGCTTCACTCGAAGGTTAACAGCTAGATCTCTGGTAAGACAAAATATATCATAATAATGATTAATTTGTGATACAATACCGATTATGAATTTAAACAAAGTATTACCACTGCACCAAATCACTTCCTCCACATGTACCGATTCTTCTCTAATTTATGGAATACACCTATACTAATTGCTTATTTGTACATTCAAGAACTTACCTTAAGGCCATCAGGAAATTTTTTCCCTAATTCCTCCTTTGTGCACTAAATTTCAACTAGTGTATGGAAAACAACTATACTAATTGCTTATTATTTCTATTCTGTATTTAATATTATCTTTTTCTTTTATTAATAAAAATTGTAATATAAAATGAATGATGCTGCCAACTGGCAATAGCATGCCTATTATGTAATGGATCTTTCCGCTAAACCCTGGCCCTTAGATATTGTTGGTAAGTTCCCACAAAACATATGCATGTGAGGGACAAGTGTGCATTTCTAGCCCTGTTCTGATTGGTCAATTGTTAATTTACATCGACTCTTCAGAAAGGTCCATATTAAGTCTCACCTTCTGTCCATGTCCAGGTACATCCTCTCAGCCTCTTCAAAGCGCTTGAAGTAAGCAGCCACCTCAGCACTTCGCATAACCTCACTCTGTAGGTTTCCAAGTCGTTTCACCAACTCTATGCCTTGGTAGTCCTTGCAGCGGACGAACGCTTGTTCAGCAGTCTTCAAATCAAGCGTCTCAAGAGAAGCTTCTGCCAAAAGACGCCTGTAATTCATAAATTACAAATCATCAAAACATTACTCAGGTTTATCTGCAAATTTTAATTTAATTTAGATCAATCTTTTATTGCTGCAAAAGCCATCCGTCAAAACATATTTACAAAATTAACGAAATACAGAAAAGATCAACATGCCTAAAGCCAGGTTCAAACTACGTGACGATGAACGCACGCGATGGCGCAGAACCAACAGATCACTTTTTTAATGAGGATCCGTTCAGGCTGCCGCTGACAATCAACCGACAGCAGAAGTGGATTCATCGTGCAACGGTCGTACGACTCAGTGAGTGCTTGGCTTAATGGAACTATGCATTCGGGAGTAGCAATGTCACTCCACTAAGGTCCTAGTGACCTGCCTACTTCACTCTAATTAAACTATGCATCCAAATTTGATCAAAATTAAAAATCAATTTATTGTGGACTATGGCAGAAGTCCACTGCAAGCAATGTTTGTTGATGCAGCTTGCTGTGAATAACTCGGAGTCCCCACTGATTTACATGCCCCAATACTTGTCTTTCTGATTGCTGTTTGTTTTCTCACAGCATCTTACCATAGCCTTGGATGGGGATTGTCTTCAATAAACTGGGCTGCTTCTTCAATGCCGACCTTTTCCAGCAGATCTCTTGTGTCGCGTAATGACTGTCAAAATAGAAATAATGTAAATGAACTTGGATGAAGGGAAATTAATATTAAACAGCATCTTGTAATATACACTATTTATTAGGATGATGCAAAGAAAAGATGTTAGTAAAGGAAATTCAAAGAGAAGTGAGGTTCAAATGGTTACGTTTGTGTCTAAATTACTAAAGGTGAAAAAGTTCTTTCTTTTTCATCTGCTTGTTCAATTTTGTAGTATACTGTATGTTTTAAGTTCAATAGAGTACTACAGCCTTATGTCACAATACCACGTCATACTAGTCCGTTGCTATCATTACAAAATGCGTTCAACTGGACGCCATTTTCTCCACTGACAAACCATTGATCCAAATTTCTAACGTAATTATTAAATTGGTGTATCTTAGTTTTTCTTTAATTGATGATTAAATGTGTGTTCGATAACTAATATAATGCGAGCTTTTGTTTTTAGTACATTTTGATAGTAAAATATTAGATTTTAAGATGCCTATTCCAGAAATCCTACAGGCATTCAGACGTAATGAACAGTAACCAATGTCTGGTTAGCTACAGAGGGGGCTACCTGGCGTTGTGACGACACGACTGTGGTACTCTATAGTAAATTAAATTACATATTTTATATCGGTATTAATATATGTTTTTAATTAAATGATGATTATTGTTTAATTAATTGATGATATCTACCTTGATATCCATATCAATGAGGTTGTCTTTACTGGGATGTTCTGCATCTTTCATTATCTCATCCAGAAGAACTGATCGGATTTGAAGGTCTTCAAAATGACAGATGTACCCAGAACTAAGAATCGGCTCCTAGATTGTAAGGGGAGAAAAATCAATAGCTCAAGTTTCTCTCTATAATCAAATATAAATTAATTTAATAAGACTTGTTCAAACACACTTAAAAAAAAAACAATGTAAACAAACAAAAAATACTTGATAAGATATGGTGAAACCTGTACATCATATTGTTTCATTACACATATAAATGATACAAGAATACGTATTGTAGCTGCAAACAAAAGGCGCTTTTACATATACGGTAGATCTATTAATAAACCATTGAAAACATACAATCTACTGGTAAAAATAAAGACACTAACATACAGTTAATATATTTAAAAAGATAACCAAGGAAAAAGGAAAAATGGAAAACTTTGTCACATAAAACATGACAGTGTGAACTGAGGTTACAGCCAGGCTCCAGAGGGGGAAAGAAGCGTTGATATGTCGTACAACTGACATTTCTAAGACTCAAAAAGGGGTTTTTGACAAAAAATTAATGTGATACCAGTTTCTGAATATTTAAAAACTGGGAGAAAAAGTGGCGTAACCATGCTAGGTTTTAAGCTGAAATGCAGAATATTGTCAAAAGAGCTAATTTCTCAAAAACATTCCCTTACCTCCGGATCCAAATTCCTGAAAATGTACATCCTGGTCTTCTCCATCATGGCAAACAGCTCTGAGTTGTCTTCTGCCCAACGCATATCCCACACATCCTTGCGTTCAAAATCCAACTGCTGGCCTTGGGTTTCTTGCCCATCGCTGTCCACACCCTTGGCATCCAAGTCAAAGAATGTGAGAACACCGGCGATGTCGATGATAGCCAGACGACTATTAATAACAAATATATGAACCAATTAATTTAATTAATTAATTTAAATATGTGGCATGTTAACATGAAACTTGGACATGGTCGCAAGTTAAAATTAGGAGAAAATCAATAACTATTTGCATTACAACATTGTATTCTCTATTACTTTTTTAAACTTGGACATGGTCGCAAGTTAAAATTAGGAGAAAATCAATAACTATTTGCATTACAACATTGTATTCTCTATTACTTTTTTAAACTTGCACAATTGAATTTTTTTTATTCGTCAATAAAATTATTTTTTATTTTCTTCTCAGCATACTATAGATGCTTTTGACAAACCATTTTGCTAAGTGAGAACTATTTTTTCCCATCCTCCTCCGATATAAGGTATAAAACTCTCTCCTAAAGAAAGTTCTAAGCATTAACAAAACTTTTTTTTTCCATCATCCTCCGGTTTAATGTATAAAACTCTCTCCTAAAAGAAGTCCTAAGTATTAACAAAACTTTTTTTTTCCATCTTCCTCCAGTATAAGGTATAAAACTCTCTCCTAAAGGAAGTTCTATGTATTAACAAAACTTTTTTTTTTCCATCCTCCTCTGGTATAAGGTATAAAACTCTCTCCTAAAGGAGGTTCTATGTATTAACGAAACTTTTTTTTTTCCCATCCTCGGTCTCCGGTATAAGGTATAAAACTCTCTCCTGTGTTTGAAGTGACGATACAACTAGATAAATTGTGTTTATAATTTTATCAAAAAAGGTTTGTATAACTGTTCATACTAACGTCGAATTGCAGTTAAGAGCAATGGCATGAGGTCGACACGAGACTGTGTGTTTGTTGACGAGGGCAACATGCGGTAATGAGTAGCGATTCAAGGTTCCAGACTCCCGTCCTATAATCAGCAATTTGTCAGATGCACATACAGCACAGATGGGATCACTTGTAGGCTGAAATAAAAAACAAACAGAATAATTGACAGTATGTCTCTGACAATAACAAAAGATTATGGAATACATTTACATGACTTATCTGTTCATGTAGTGATTTATAAGTAATATACAAATAGGCAGTGCTTCAGTAATATTAAAACATTTTAGGATAATCTAATAACAGTGTGTTTATGAAAAACATGTAAGCACTTTATCTAATTAATAGCAAATAAAAGTATAAAGAAGCATAGGATGCATCACATTAAATACATACTGTATGATACATATATTATAAAATATGGCTTAATATCATTTATTGAGATAACAGAGGTGGATCCAGGCTTTAAAAAAATCACAGGAGACCATTCTGGAAATCACTTAAGTAAAAATCACAATCTTGGTGTCAAAACAAGGAAAGTATTTCACTATGAATCCCTACAATATTTTGGTATGTTCATTAATGAAGGCGGCCTTTTCGTGAGTCATACTAACATGAGTAAGGATAAAATGTTTGTGACGATTTACCGTCTAGACGCGTGCACAGCTCTGCAAGAAATATATCGTAGCACCATCCTTTTAAATATTTTGAGTTCCTATTTATGTCCATTAAAATATCGTAAAAAATAATTTTACAATAAAAATAATCTAAAAAATATTAGACGAGGACTTTTCACGCTACAAAAGCAACACATGTGAGAAATCATTATTCAAATTACGTTGGTACAGTGGACATAAAAGACAGAAACCTACAGCAAAAGCTTTACTGAAGTCCAACATGCCTTCACCAGCACCTGATGGAGTATCATCGATGTGGTAGACTTTCTCTCTGTTGTCCTTCTTTCGGCCCACGGCCTGGTTCACAGACATTGCAGATACAGTCTTTGGCGTCTTAAATTGCCACACATAGAGGGCCTCCTTAGATGTGGCAATAATGTGGGTCTTAGTTAAAGTAACATATTGCGGTTCTTGGAAAGAGCGATACAAAAATAAGAACATTATTATCATCAACAACAAAAACAAATAACATTAATAACTAACTAATAACAATCACTATTATACAAGTAATTTACAAATTAAGGTCACATGAGGGTTAAGTGACTGGCATAAATATGGGAATGATAAAAGAAACAATGTGAAGACTTATGGATAAAAAACATTAAAGTTTGTAAAAAATAATATCTCACCTATATCCACATACTTGGAGTCTAAAGGTGTACCAATAGAATTGCACAAGACCAAGACGTACTGAAGTGGAAAATTTAAATTATTATAGAACCTCTAAATAAAATATACTTTTACTTGTAATGTTCAACTTTGTTATCGGTAACCATTATTTACCCAACATACCACATATTATAATTTAATTGTTCTTCTTACGTTACAAGATGTATGATGAAATAAGTTGCAGCTAAGCAACCAAACATAAACAGACTGGAAAGATATTCTGAGTAGTAACATAATATTTAAAATAACCAATATCCTACAAAAAATCTGAAAAATTATGACAAAAAGTTTATGCAAAATAAAATTGAGACGTATTGATCAAATAATTTATATGATTTTTAAATGAAATATTACTGCCCATCACCAAAAACCAGTCACCATTAAGCAATTAGCTGATTTAAACAGTGCACATTATTGTTAAACCTGGGAACATAAGCATGCTGTTATACAATTAGATGCTCTCTACAACCCTAAAAAAGAAGGCATTACTTGAATTTCACAAACAACACTTTTAAATGCAACCCTATCAACCCCAGCACTGTAAGCAGTAGCTGGCTAGGAGTGCAGCTGTTTTACATTGTAAACAATTCTGTTCTTCCAATACTGTACAGTTACAAATATTAATGTTCTCAATATTCAAAATCAAGACATCTAATTACCATTTGGTGTATGATTGCTTGGTTAAGTTAGTCAGTGGAATTCAAATGTGCTGGCATGTCAGCTGCCTAACTCAACCAGCAGTGTGACCACCTATAACTAATACAAATAATAAGTGTTTTGCTCCTTCTATCCTTTCATAAAGTTAGTCAGCACAAAATATGCTACAAGATAGATAGATATGAATATAGTACAGAATTAAACCATATCCCCATGCAAGTCAAAATGAAAAAAATAATATAATTTACAAAACTCATGCAAGAGTGCCTTCACCGAATGTTGATAATTATTACACCAAACACCACAAAAACACATACATGAAAACTAAGAATAATTATGTCATAAGAATGGTTAAAGTAAGGAGAGGTAGAGATGAAATTTAAAAAAAAATTGGTTTAGTCACTATAAAAGGTGAAGTTATTTGGGTTGATGAGGATTAATGAAATGATCAATGATGGAATAAGCTTTCTACCTGGGTCAATTCATCTGCTTCCTGTAAAAAGGTCAATGGAAAAGAAAGCTTGGCATATTTATGGTTTGATATCACTTTGTCATGTACAAATATTGTATAACACGAAGATTATTATTATTATTAAGAAAATGAATTCAAGAATTAGTTTTGCACTATGGTAATAGTATTACATATATTTAAAACTTTTATTATGTATGACAGCACAGTTGATAGTATCCATATTCAACTTTCTTTTGAGTCTTCCCAACAATGTACCTAATTATGCTGCTCTAATTCATTAGAATGTGTTCACTAACACTCTTTTAATAACTTTATATTTTATAAAATTGCCATAATGCTAAGAATATTTTCATTTTGCAAAAAAAAAATGAATATAGTAGCCAAAAATTGCCATAATGCTAAGAATATTTTCATTCTGCAAAAAAAAATGAATATACAGTAGTAGCCACAATTTCATAATTATTAATCAATCAATTACTGTGAAGGACCATGTGACACAAAATCAAGGGGTATGGATCCAGGGTACATGTAATTTAACACCACCTGAATTTGTACAAAGGAATCCACATGTTAATATAACATATTCTAAACCTCTGTCAACACTTTCAAGTGAATGTAGCAAATATCTGTGCTTTGCTCATACCTGGCAAAGACAAGCCAAACCAGTGTTTAGAGATATTGGCAAAAACATGCTGAAATGTAAACATTTTTTTAATCTATTTTATTGCAATAAACTAACATTTATATCTATATAGCATGGTATACTGTTGTTTTTCACATTTTCAATGTTAAAACAACAATTTGTTGACGGTTTTTGCCTGAGAAATGCCCGAAATCATCAACTTATGGCTCATTTCTCAAATATTGTTCTTTAAACAGCTGTACGTTTAAATGCTTGTAACTTCATAAGGAAATGTCAGACTTAAATGATTCTTTTACCATTTCATAGCTCTCAATTTCATTTTCAACACAAAAACTCAAAATCAATTTTTGCGAAGAGTGACTGGTTTGGCTTGACTTTGCCACATGTACTGTATGGGCATGATGATTTGATATCACACCCATATTTGAGCAAAACACTGGTAATTTCCACATAAAACATGATAGGGTAAACAGAGCTGAACACCACCTGGAATGTGAAAACAAGTGGCTGCAAATGTTTTTATATTATATATTTAACCTGGGTCTGATCATTACAAAGTATTTTTAACCTAACGCAGGTACATTAACTTAGACCAAACAAGGTAATATATGTTCAACTTACATTTCCTATGGTCTCCTCAGCTTTGGTAGCTAGCACACAGTGATCTCCATACGCAGTAACAGAAATCAAATTGCGTACATACTTGATATGTCGCTGAAATGAACAAGAAACCAAATTATGCAACATACTAAATGGGTTAGTATGGTAGATTAGTTAAGTTGCATTCTATTGAACTATTAAAGTGAATCAATTGAAAGTTTTCAAAATAGATAAGGTTTGTGGGAGTGTACTAGCTGACGCCCAATTGGTAGAGTATTTTCATCATATTGTTTAAGGTCTTACGTTCAACTGCCAATTAAGGCTCAACATTTTATTCCTATCTCTTTTTTGTTGTTTGCATCACTATAAATACGATTTTAAATTTTCATAGGAAGACATTTTATCCCATGTCGTACATACCTCATTATTCTTGGTATCCCAAAACACTAAACAATGCTCAGAGCGTTCTGGCTTGGTGAATGCATAGACAACCGTATCAGAGCAATAACCCCACTTGTAGTCTGGCCGTATGTTAGCAAAGTAGATAAAGCTGTCAACAGCTAAGGCTATGCGAAGTCCACCCCCTTCCCAGGAGCAGGACACCATCTCTTTACCAGGTACTTTTAGGGTTCTCATGTGCTATAGCAATAAAAAGATGCAATCATTATTGATATGTTATGTTCAAAATGTAAAAGGACATTAAGGCCTACTACATCTACAACCGTTCATGTGTTTAATTATGGAGAGAGATCCTTTTAGGTTAGTTTTAGGCATAATTACATAGGTTAACACATCAACAATTTCAAAAAGTGAAATCTAGAAGGTGAAAACTGGCTCAGTTATTTTCCAAAATCTAGAGAGTTTCTCTGATCATGAATGCTGCCCTCAATCAAAGGTTGTTTGCCCCAGCCTCTAGAATTCACTACCACAATCTGTTCAAGATTCTCTTAATTTTAATGATCTTTAAGCGCCATCTTATATTATTCTTTCAAACATTTATTCTGTTTTATTTTTCTTTTCTGTTTCTCTGGAAAGCTCATAGAGACGAAAGGTATATGCGCTATACAAGTGCAAAACCATTGACCATTAACCATCTCTATCAGTATTTGAACTTAGGATTAATATTCTCCAAATGTTCATGTCTTTACATCTCGTGAGTACATATTAACTGTACCTTTATGCATATTTAACATTCAAAAATCCATAACTCATCATCTGTAACTGGCTTTGACTGTTAAAAATCATTATGAGAATATAAGGTACTGCCACATTGTAATTATAATGTTACCTCTCCAAATGGTGTGTAGAACTGAACGACATTGATGTCTTTGTCCTGTTGCGCACTCTTTTGTGAACCAGCGACAGCTAATGCTGACCCAGCATGATTCCACTGGATGGCAACGACTGTCATTCCAGTATCAATTAACACAGGATCTAACCAAAAAAGTAAGGGGCAAAAACACATGATATTTTATGAGTTTGTTGTTAACATTCTTTACAATTTTCTTGTTTGATTTACTACCACAACCAAAATATTTCAATTTAGTACTCAAAAAGCCTTAAGCCCTGTCCAGATTACCACATGACATGCCTAAATATGGTCATGATGACATCACATCATGACCATATATAGGCACATCATGACTATACATGGGCATACAACAGTTTTTTGTCAAAGAAAATTTGATAATTTGGACAAAGCTTTATACTGTATTATAATTGGATAATAATTAACTTACTTTCATCATTCTCATTCTTCATGATCTGAGCTCTTCCATTATCAAAGCATATCGCTAAGCAAGGGCAGTTAGGCTCCACATAACCATGCTGTCCATCGTACCAGTCAATTCCTGCTATGTGAAGCGCTCCAGTCACATTAGTTAAACAGTAAACCGTAAGGCGATTCTGATAAGGAGGAAAAAGTATCACTATAAGCAATATTTCCAAACAGGCTTTTAGATGAACATAACATAATCAGGCTTCATTATCCATCTGAGTGGCTTCTTGAGCTGAAGACCAAGGTTCAAACCCTGCCAGCGTCGGATAACCCTTGTATCGTATAACCCTAGCATAAGAGTTTGGCGGGATTTTTTAGGCTGCCTAATAACATTTTAATACCATTCCCTTCATTAAATCTATTATTACCACCACTATCATTATCACTATGAACGCAAATAGCAAATTACTACCAGTGCCACCAATATCATCACTATTGCCAACATACCATCCCCATCATTTCCACCAATATCATTACAAACATTGCCATTAATATCATCACTACCATTTAAACCAATATACACCATAATTATCATTGCCACCAATACCACCATCATCAGCATCAATAATCTCTAACATTGCAGCTAATATCTTCATATTTTGTTCCATCACAATCATTGACACCAATACTAATAATACTGTAGAAGTTTCATTATCATCATCATCATCATCATCATCATCATCCTCTTCCGTTATTGTTCATAACCTTGGTTGAGTATACTCACACAATATGTTGTACAGTACTCATATATGTCACGGTCAAAAGGAAAAGAAAAGTAGACAAATAAATATAATATATTAAAAAAATAGAAAAGGAAAAAAATCAAAAAAAATTTTTTTTAATTAAATAAAAATAAATTTATACATTAATAAAATAAACAAATAAATTAAATTAAAAAAAATAAATATGAAATATAAATAAATAAACATACAATGTTTCATTGATAATAAATCAATATCATCACTATATCTTTCAAATCATTGCCACTAATGACTTCACTATCACTGCCTCCACTAGCATCATTAATTGCCACCATTATTCATCCCTATCACTGCCAAAATCAGCATTCCTTACAATGAAATTTCCTTGATGATCGTAGATATGAATTTCTCCATTTGACATTCCAAAGAGCAACGATTTGCTGTCGGGTGACCAGGCCACATGGGCCAGTTGTTGTCCTTTGATATCCTTTCCCCAGATACGGTTGCCATCCACTGAACCAACAATCACAGCGCCATCTTCATACACGATGCAGATACGATAACCATCTGCAGTCCAGCTCATACTCCTGACGACTGACTTGTTACGATTGTTTACCATCTCTTCATACCAAGAACCTAAACAACATAATTTGAGGAAAACAGTGTGATTACCTTATTCATTGTATTTTCTGCACATCTAAAGCAAGGGCTGGCACATTACATCAGTGACTTTATTGATATTACTAATGGAATATAATTGTTATTATTAATATTAATAATATTATTATATTGCTTAATTATTTATATTATCATTGATATTATCATTATTGATATTACAATTATGCTTTGTTCATCTGGTTGGTTGTCTGATGTTTTTTTTTACACAAATCAGCAATTATGTTTGCGAGATACACATGAATCAGGAACAACTCCCTGGTTGGATTAACTATTCATGAAATAGGCAAAACAGTGCAACAGCCTACCTTTATATAACATCCAAACAATAATAAGACCATATTGATCACTGGTTGTTAACTTGTGATGGTGAGAATTCCATGTTGTTACTTGAACCGATCCTGTAAAAAAAATGTTCATTCAACACTCAATATAATGTTTTATTAGACAACAAAAACATAACACAATACAATATTATAGTAATATATTTCACTATCTAATATATATACAAGTTTAACTGTAAGGCTCTGCTCACGCCTTATACAACAAAAATCTGTGATTTTACATTATCATATCCATATAAAGGGGTGATATGACATCATCATGCCCATAAGGATGCGATATGACATTACAACCATCCCATATATGGGCAAAAAACTGTGTGGAGAGAGCTTTAGACCTACCGCTATGTCCTTCCAAAGTTTGGTTCATGGACAGATTACTTGGTGCAGCCAATCCACGTACTTTGCTGTCTTTTCCTTAAATCACAAAAAAATATTAAGTTCGTGAAATTCCCTGTCAGTCAGGTTAGTGAGTATTAACTATTTTCATATAAAGTGAAAAAAATAACTTTGTGTTACAAAACTACAATATTTTGGAGAAAAAAAAATATTGACACAACATAGAGTAGTCAACCTGAGGGGTATGGCAACTACGATTAAACATCTTAGTTTTACTGAATCATACAGTACATTAGCCAGTGCACTCTACACTGCTGTACAATTGGTTAGTGTAATATGGTGAAATAAAATAAAGTTGCAATTTGTACCTGATTGTGTTTCTAACTTGAGTACTTTGAGAAGTCCACCATCACCTCCACAAGCTATGTAGCCCTGGTTGTGATTCCAGGATACGCATCGTAACTTAGTGTTGTTGGGAATGGCAATCTTTGGAAGGAAAATACAATAATTTAAAACGTTATGTAATAATATTATAAGAGTACATTAATTTCATTATTAACATGCATATCCGTTATCATAAGTCCTAGGTCCACATATAAATATTCTTGGCCATAACACATAGTGTTCTTTTCGATTTAAATTTATATAGGTCCTATAGGCCTAGGCTAGGCCTATTTATATTTTTTAAGGTCCACAAATAAATATTCTTGGGCATAACTTAAGCCTATGTTCTTTTCGCCTTAAATTTATATATTAATATTTTTTTATTTATTTTTTTTATCTTATATATTATTATTAATTCAGTGACATTTCAGACAGTATAGTAATGCCTGCGCGGAGAGTAGGCCTATGTCCTCCACACCAAAAACCTGGGCTAGAAATCCGTCCACACATTTCAGGAAATTTTGTCGAATATTATGCAGCAATTACGATTGTGGGCACTTATTTTCCTAGCAATTTTCGGCGCAAATTTGAGCTGATTTTCAGCTGTCCTCCACGCAATTAAAAAACCTTATAGTGTGGGTGTCGTCTCAATCAAATGACATTCTGGCATCGTATGACCGGCACTACGCACGACGGGGGCCCCACCACCACTTCAGTTTCAGCACACACCATCTGACAGTGACACTACAGAAGTGCTGCATGACCTGGCCACGGGGCCTGCCAGGAGGACCAGGTGTCTTAGGCTGGACCACACACAGGCTACATAGGCCTAGCCTAGGTAGGCCTCTAGGCCTAGTACTAGTAGTAGTAGGCCTATCCTATATACACAGGCTGCAACAAGCTGGCATAGGCCATATTGTTCTTATTTATCTTCATATGCAATAAACAGTTCTCACCTTTTTACTCAAATAGATGAACATATTGCGCCAGGTATCAGTTTAGACCTAACTAACCCTAAACAGTCGATAAAACAGGCAATAATCATACATAAACAGACCCTCTGCACTCCTAACTAAATTTTAGACTGCGGCATTCGCCTTGGAAACATCAGGCAAGCGCCACCAACGTATGACACAATCTAGGGGTCGTGGGGTCGTTCAATTGAACTGTGGGATACTAGTATTCGACCTTTTCGCACGACGTGCATTTTGTGGTAGGTTGTACTAAAAAGTCACTACATATTTTGCAGATTATTTAAAGTTTAACCATATTAAATTGTGATAATTGTAGAATGAGTTCGTTCAATAAATACTTATTCATATATTTGACAGGCTTACAAGTGGACATTGCCCCAAATTCACGATGGTTGCATCAAAAAAACAGGTAAGCCAAGCAATATAAATGCCGTGTGTGTGTGATGTGATCGACGGAGTTTTGATTTCTGTTGAGTGTGGGGAAATATGGGATGGTTGCCCGATAATGAGAGAAGGTGTAGGCTAGCCTAGGAACGGTACAGAACCGTTTTGGCCTCGATGTATTGAACACATTTTGTATTGTATGTTTTCAGTAAATTCGATTATTGAATGACTAATAATAAATGATAATCGTAATAAATAATACTTGTGATAAATATGCGTATTGACTTTATTTAAAAGTACTGTAAATTAAAAAGACATGACAGTGTCTATATGATGAGAAGACACCCAATGAGAAAGGCTACCTAGTCTAGAGGCCTAGGCTACGACTCAGAGAAAGCCTATTATTTGTAAACCGGTTTCCTCATTTTAAATTATGATAATGACCCCTAGTGAGTAGGCAGCATGTTTTATTTACTGTATGTCAATTTGCCACAAGAGAAGCCTAGGCCATGTAGAACATACAAACAAGAAACAAGTGTAAAAAGTTTAACACACTTAAATTCTCAATTGGTAACTGATCAGGTATAAGGCTACTGTATCTATTTGTAAAGAAAGTATAGTGTATGTTTTAATTATATTAAGACTAACAAAACTAACTAGTTCCCGGCCGAAATGGATGGCATTAAGCCTTGCATAGTCTACTGTATATACTGTACACTTAAGTTGAAATGGTTAAAGCATTTTTCCATATCTTGATATTTTTATTTGTATTGTAGGATTTTTGTTGATTTTAATATTTTTGTTTTACAGTCAAACTCGCCTAAGTTGAATGTGCCCAAGTCGAAAAATTGTCCCAAGTTGAAATTATTTTCACGCCACTTCATCTTCCCTTGCCTGTATTTACAATGATCAATATTTGCTGTAACTCTAATAAATTTAAGTCGAATAAAATGAAAGTCGAACATATTTCACATGCCAAGTTGATCTGTTTTTCATTGATTGTAAGTCGAAGTCAAAATCTTGACGTAAAACTTCAATCATTTTAAAGTGTCACCACTTTACAAACATGGTTGTGAACGTCAACAAGTGCCTCATACATTTGGCAATAATTCACACGCTGAGTAGATCTAACAAGTGACTCATGTTTACATTGCATAGTGGTACTCCGTGTAGTTTATTCTACCTACAACTCAACTTACATTCCTCTCTATTGTTCAGACATGTTGCGAAGTCAACAAGCGACTAATGTCTACGTGTGATGTTTATTCTTAAACAGTGGTGATGGTAGCGATGGCATTCCTTTTAGACGTACCACCAAGTCCTTAACCGTGCCTGTTGTCAGCATAAGCCAATCACTTTTTCTCTGTCCATGGAATGTCAATTTTAAGTTAGTTTATAAACAAAGTACACATTGCAATAAGTTACACGGCTTAGTCAACTATTAAACATACAATTCTACACACACAACAGCATAGTACTTTATTTGTGAATCGATGCTGTAATATACATTTCAAATAAACTTTGCGCATTTTAGTACAATAATGAATCCCTAATAACAAATGAAACAGTCCGTACATAATCACGTCATTGAGAAGAAGCAGAAGTACGAACTGTTTGCTGCTGTTATGTTGTTGGATCGACATCGCTGCGATGTAAAATATCACAGAATGATTCCTCTCAATACTGTACTGTATTCAAAAGGATGCCATAGAAACAGTTAAAAAAACATTTAGACATATTAATTATAGATAGAATTAATGTAATTGCTACTCTGAAGAATAATATTATTATTTTTAAAGGCAAGTTTAGCAAGCCGAAGCCTTTACTCAACATGCCCTGCTTCTACTAGGCAAGATGTGCGGTTAAAAAAGTGTGTGTACCATCTGTGCGTGTTCTTTTTTTCCCGCCTCCGTATGGCCTAACTGAAGTCAAGTTGCTATTCTGCTTTAACTCGAATAAAATTTGACTTTGTTTTAGTTTAATTTAATCTAAGTCAAACTATATTTCAATGGAACTTTGAATTGGACTTTGGCGAGTTTGACTGTACTAAGCTTCTTTCTGTCTGGTTGAAATTAAAATGTCCAAATTTTGTGTTGTTTTTTGTAGAAAAAGCAGATGGAGAGTATAAACTCTCGTCTGCAGCTTGTCATGAAGAGTGGGAAATATCATCTTGGGTTGAAGCAAACACTCAAAGCACTTCGACAAGGCAAGGCAAAGCTTGTCATCCTAGCCAGTAACACACCACAATTGAGGTATACCTGATTTTCATTTTTATATATCATTAATAATAATAGAATAATTTAAAAATAATTTAGCAATAGTTGAATTGTGCATTAAGTTTGTTTCCACCTTACATCGAAAATTGTTTATGATCAGTATCCATTTTTAATTGGATTGTACACTTACTGCTTCCCACATAATCCATTGTCATTATTTAACATGCAATATTGTATTTTTCTTTAAACTTTGTGATTTGCAGGAAAAGTGAGATCGAATACTACGCTATGTTGGCAAAAACAGGCGTACATCATTATACTGGAAACAACATTGAGCTAGGAACAGCCTGCGGTAAATACTTCCGAGTATGTACCCTTTGCATTACAGATCCTGGTAAGTTGGGTAGTGAAAAGTAGTTTATTCTCTACATGCTTATGTTTCACATTGATCAATATTGGCATACTAATAACCCATTGAGAGTTAAGCTTAAATGAATTTCTATTACTGTCATTTTTCATGTCAAACTGTATTAGCATTAATTTATCTAATATTTATTAAGAACTCAGTTTTCTTTTCAATGTCTTTGCTCCTGTGAAGTGGACACTACAAGCATCTCTGATGAAAACTATTATAAGGACACTGACATTATCAACATCAGTTTTTCCCAAATGCCTCTAAAATGTTTGTTTTGTGACGTCAATGATTATACTGTTATTAACTACCAAATACATACACAATCATACTTTATAAAATATAAAAACTGGAAAAGGTGTTTGCAGAGTACTGGGTGAAACAACATATTTATTTAATATTTGAAGTAAAAACCAGTAAAACTCATTTAAATATCTATTTTTATCTTTCAGGTGATAGTGACATCATTCGTAGTATGCCATCGGAGCAGTCATAAGGATTTGTCAAATTATTCCGCTAAATCACAGGTTTATATCTTGTAAATGAAGTACAATAAATGATGTCTTAAAATTAATAGTGACTTTGTATGTTTTTGTCAGTCCTATTAAAAGTTATAAAACAATAAGCATAAATGATCTAATAAGCTTGCAGTGCTTAATGTGTTATTAAAGGGTTAAAATAATACTTGTGATTAAACATTGCAATATTTGTCGAAAGTGGAATAGTATTTCCAATAAGCACCAAGGCACTTATTTGATTAATTATGGTACCCCATCATGGAGGAAAATTTCTTTGCAAATACTGTACCCAATTGGTAACTCATCCAAACAAAGGTTACAGAAATACTGCACTGTATATACTGATTAAACAAATTACCGTTAACCAAGTTTCTAAGCATAATTTAATGATACAGTGGTATCTGCTCAGCAACTTAGTTTTAATTTTGTGTAGCCCACTGATTCAGCATATTTAATGAGTTGATGAATAATGAGCTAAGCCAGTGATCTAAAAGTGATACTGCACTCATATTAAATCTTACAAAAAAAATTATTGCATAGCCAAACACATTTTCAAGCCCAACAGAATCTGCACCCACAAACTAGCCGAGTACTCTACATGATAGCTTGCACCCAAATTTATTAGTGATGTTCAAGTACAGTAATCCAGAACTTCGCTCACAAATGTGAGGTGTCGTGACAAAAGTAGCGAGTTTAGATTTCATATAATAATTTCATCCAAAAAAAATTGAAAAACTGACAAACACAAAAAAACAGATGGTCAGTGGTCCTATATTTATATGCGCTTTCCACAGAAAACCGTCTCAAGGTGCTTTTGAAGCCACAAGAAACAAAGACAAAAGAACGCGAAGGGGGGGGAGTGTGCACCCCCGATTTTGAGTTAGCGTCGCCATCACTACCGTGTACGCGCAGGTACCTCGGCGTCAGTTTGCTGGGCTCCGGTAGCTTAAACTTAACAGAACAACTTAACTACAGAGATTAACAAATAAATAAGAATTATTAACCATGAGAAAATTTACAAAGATTGGAGAGATAAGACTTCAAATTCTTTTTAAATACAAGCAGTGAAGGTGCCTCACGAAGAGCCGCCAGTAATGAATTCCACAACTTTGGGGCAGCTACAGAGAACGCCCTGTCGCCGTAGGTCTTGGGACGATGCGGGAACTGATAGTATAGATGTGTCAGTGGTTGATCTCAGAGACCGAGCATTATGGTTAAGGGCCTTGTATGTGAGGAGTAAAATCTTGAATGAGGGGAAAATAACACTCAATTGGCAGGACAGCATTGCCAAAATGTGAACCGAATCACTATTGATGGCTATCCGATGCCAATAAGAACATAAATTAGCATAATAGTCAAGTAAAATCTCATTAATATATATGTATAAAATCAGTCAAAAGGTAAAGATAAAAATATTAAAAATACTATCAAAGTTGAAATGCAAGAATTGCAGTGAAAAAACTAATGTAGTACTGTATTATTGTTTAGCTTAAAATAGTTTGAATTCCAAAAGCGAAATGGGAAGTTTTTTCCATTCACTCAGAAAGTTGCTAAAAATGAGAAATTCAAAAACATTACTATACGAGTAAGAGAGTATAAATTTAAGATAGTCGGTGTGTCTCTAGCACTGTATTAAAATGGATAAAATCTTGTCAAGGAATTGAGTATAAATTATAAAGACAAACAAAAGCCATGCACGATATGAGGAGAGTTAACATTACTATTCAATAATTCTTTCGCATATTTTTATTTTTAAAATGACTGTTTAAGTGGATAGATTTAATTTTATGGAGTACCAATGCAACAAAAGCCTGGAGATACAAATGTATGCCAATACTGAAAAAGGAACACAAAAAAAAAAAAGCAAAAACAAATAATTGGTTTTATAAGTATTTTATTAATCTTAGAATATTTTGACAAAAAGCAAAGACAAAAAGAAGCATTTTCAGTAACACAATGTATTTTACAATGAAATGTTTAACTTACATTAGAAATGCAACTAATAAGATTAAATTTATGGAAGATAAGAATGAAATATTATATCTATTGGCAGTTAAGCACAAACAACAAAACAAAAGAGAAAGATAAGCAAGGAATAACTTGTAGGTGTGGAAATTTCACTGAACTTTCTTGAAATTGGTTGTCAATTTTAGAACACAGCATAAGAAATTTTGATTTTGCTATTTATATACAGTATATATTTTTTGGTTAGTGCCTTTTCCATGGATTTCAAAGCGCTTGTTTTTCCAAAAGTGTTTTAATATTGATCAAACAATACAGCTGCTTCTGTAAATTGTTAATTATGTGAAGCCATAGCATTTTATACATAGAAACAATTATTTTTATATTCAATTAACTACCTAAACATTTCAGAGAAAAGATATCTTGGGCTTGAGGACTACAAAATGTATATAAATTGAATCAGATTTCATCGGACCGTTAATTAAAATGTAGTCAACGACCAACACAATATATGGAAATCGATATTAATTAAAATCATGTTAAATATCAATACCTATAATACTTTCATTAAAGTTATAAATCTGTTCATAAATTCATTATCCAAACAATGTTTAATCTTAATTATATTTTTCACTCTATAATTCTAATAGCATAATGTATTAATTACTAGGTAACTTATTTATCACAACACTAGTACACTAATAAATTGCTGCTGAAAATGTTATTACCGGTAGGCTTCAAAATCTAATTATTTTGTTGGATAGTAGGTCAATTTGCAGGAGTAGAAAACTATTGTACTTATTTCTTTGGAATAATTCACACAATACTTAGAAACACTAGGATAAAAGAAATTTACTGTACAGTCAACTCATACCCAGTTTTGGACACTACTAACTACAGGGTATGTTTGGTTAACTTTTACTTAATTTTAAATTTTGACATAAATTAGTTCTAAAAGTAGGTACAGTAGTTGGTAGGCAAGAGTTGACAGTACAACAATTGGTTCTTTAAAATAGTATAGTACTAGACAATGCAAGATTACAAAGTAATCATCTTCATCCAACTGAAACAAAATAACCTGTTTCATTAGTATAAAGCATATGGTAATCCACTAAGTAAACATTACAAGTCTACCTCCAATTAAAGACCACTTTTCTGTGGTTCCAAATTAAAAAATGTCTTTTCTTTATTCTAATTAGAGACCAAAGCTGCTAAAGACCATGGAAAAAACAGTCCCCAGTCCCAGAAGTGGTCCTTACTTGGAGCGAGACCGGTACTTGCATCTTAGAAGGGTTTCAAAATATATTTACTGCTTCAGAAGTGGAAGATCAAAGATTTCAGATTTATGATTCTTGCATGTGTCCCCACGGATGCTGGAGCCACTCTACAAACCAATGCACTTAAAATTTTGAGTCCCGAATATCTCAGGCAATAAGAACTTTCCAGAGTCAATCAATATGCAATAATTCTAGAGACAGGGACAAATATATTTGACTTCGTAACATCATTAAGTTAGGATAAAAACACAGTAAGAATCGTAAGTGTTACTAGAAAGTGGACTTCATTCCATCAAACAGGCCAAGCCCACCCTGTTTTGGACAGCTTGGACAAAAAAAAATTAGGCCATAATAGCATAATACGTTCTAAAATATCTCAGGAAATGTGTATCCCACAATCACCAATGAAAAAGAGTTGTACAAAAGATATTAAGGATTATTCTGAAAATGGATATTAAGACTTCAAGGAATGAGCGACAAGTTCATGTGTAGGAAGGGAGGACTATGTCATCTTTTATATCAATGTGTTACAAACCATGCTTGACATCACAAAATCAACAAAATGCTAGGCTAACTTATGACGTTAATAAATTCTATAGTATATACAATCGTGCAACTAGCCACAAAATAATACTATTTAGCATTTTATGAGGCCCGTAACTGGGGGGTTTCTATTGTTAGGCCAAACACTCTTTCCAAGCGAATCCTCTGATACACCAAAACTACCTAAACATCTTGAATAAGAAAAACTAATAAAAATGATGATGAAATTCACCATCTGTGTGCTAGAATGCTTGTCTTGAATAAGAAAAACCAATAAAAATGATGATGAAATTCATCATCTGTGTGGTAGAATGCTTAAGTCCCAGGGAATTGATCCCCTGGATTTCATTAATGCACCTGGACACCTTGACCTAAGGATTACATAGGTAACCCTTATGGATTCCAGGTTACGGGCCTACATATTGCAGTACATAACTAGTAATACCACACCTAAAATCTAAGTGTAATAATGCACACCTTTCTGGCAAAAAAAAAAAAGAACCTCGTGTATGCATATGTAAATATATTTATGCAAGAGGTGTTGTCGGTGCAAGAGTACTTCTGTTCATACCATTATCCAGTGCATATCTGTGCTGGATATTAACTCCACATTATTTCGGAAGCTCTCTCATCAACCTTTCACTACATTACAAAATGTACCAGTATAATTAAAGTTCAACAAAAAAGTTGTCCAGTTGAATTGTGGAAACTCCCAACCCCTCTAACATTCATTATCAGTTGTATACATATGATGTAATTTCATAGTGTTTTTCCTTTCTAAAGTAACATTATGCATCTGTGAAAGAATAAACAGCCTTATTGGCTAATTACCTAATTTGTTTTATTATCAAATCTCAAAAATAATATATCTATATTGCAATAGATTTTTATTTTTACTATTGCCTGCAACTACTGTATTTATCATCTAGCTACAGACATTCCGGAGAAATTGCTGCAGCTCTGTGGTTAAGCTTGCCGTCCAATCCCAGGGTCCTAAGTTCAAATCGTCCAGATTTTTTTCTCACTATTAGAAATATCTATCTAATCCCCCTTTAGATATAGCATTATAGCCATTCTGTGCAAGCACAATGTGTCTGCCGACCAATTCATCCGAGCATCGTAAAAGGGCTTGCCCAATTCAATGCCAACCAGTAGCAGTCTGAGTAAATTGTCATTAAAAACAATCCACTGTGCATCCAATCGTCTGCCAACACAGTACACAGAGCCTTACTATTCCATGTACAAGCAATAAAATACGTAAATAAAATTGTAAGAAATGTTTCCACAATTTATGTTTGTAATCTGAAAGATAAAATTTGTTGCACTTGGGTTATACCATAAGTAGTGTTTGATAGTACTCCCCATATTAAATAAAAGTACTATAAGCCAGTTGCCTATTTCTTAATCTATTTCAAATCTGTTATCTTAAGAACATTAATGTAATATTGTTTAAAATCTATTTTTATTAATGCTTTTTGGTGTTTTCTTTTTTTTCTTTCTGGTAGCAGCACATTCCTTGGATGACAGTGGTTCACTTTTGTTGCTCCTCATAAATGCACTTAATTTGATGCTGTTTCTTTTGATATTTTGCCAATATAAAAATAATAAAATAAATAAAAATAGTCAATATTTTACGTTAAAAAATTACTCCATACCAAAATGTCTGCATCAAAGTAAAACACTGAGTAAAATGTGTTATTGTGTTTAACTAATAAATTAAATGTTACAAGCTATGTCAAAAACATAAAATCAGATTATATAAAGGAACAATGCCAATACATTTAATCTAGAAGTCCAATCAACAACAGAAATTCTCATTCAAAAGCAGTTCGACCAATCACAAGGAGCGATACTCGATCACGCTAAGCAGATCCGACTAATCCCAATGAGCCATACTTAAATACAGTTTTGTTTGACCAATCACAAAGAGTGTTACTCCTTTATCAATTTGGTTAATCACAATGAATGATACCCACACCAAGCAGATTTGACCAATCACAATGAACAATACTCAAATGCAGGAATGTTTAACCAATCAAAATGATTTTTTTAAACATATCGTGAGTGACACTCCTGCAAGCAACTTTTAATTTAATTTGAATTCACGTCATTTGTTAGTTTTTTGTAATGTTCCCATGTGTGCCTGTTTATTAAAGGTTCCATAAACCAAAAGAATGCAAACTATGTTGAAATTTGTCAAAGCACAAAACCGAATCACCTTGGAAAATTGAAGAACCTGGTTTTCTTAGACCAAAAACAAAATGTATTTCAGATATAGTTTTTAATGTTATTCCACAGTGGAGTAGAGTTACACAAAATATGTCCCTGGGGAAGGTGACAATAAACAAAATAAAGGGTGGGTGATGATGAACAAAATGTGGCCCCAGGGAGTGAATAAGCTAAACATGAATTCAAGATAAACTGATAAAGGAGCAGTTCATATTAGGTCAATTCAAAGAGACTGAAAGAAAAATGAAGTATGAACTGAAACAAAGTACGACTCCGTTAAGATCTCATTTCTTCTTGATTTTTGATCGGGTGCGGACTCCTCCATTTACAGCTTTAGGGGAGGCTTCATTTGCACTTGAGTCATTCTGTTGCTCGGCGAGGACATTCTTCACTGCTAAAAGAAAGAAAAACATTTAGATGCATAATCAACTAAATAAAACTATGGTACACAATTACTTTATTCAATTAAAGTGTCAATTTTAAAACCAAAGAGTGGAATTGTTTTCAAATCATTACTGGAATTTGCAAGATTCAAACCCAGACTTTTAGATTACAAAAGCACTACAAATGAACGTTTAATTTCCTATTTAAAGGATAAAATGTCCGGTATTATTGACCACTGGAAGCCCTCAAACATACAAAAATTCAGATAATAAGAACATTTCAAACATTTAACTAAAGACTAACTTACATTTATAAGATTTACATATGAAAATCTGACAATGTTTTACTAGATATTTTGAGTGACAAGAATAAGGACTATATTAACAAAATTAAAACACATGTGGGATTCATCCTCAAAAGGAAAATAATTCTACATGTTATATAACCATAACTATAACCTACCAGGTTCTTTCTTTGCTTTCTTGTCCTTAACTTTCGGGACAAACTTCTTTTTGGCCGTAAAAGCTTGGTTTTCACGGTAACGACGTAGCTGGAATGTTAAGAAGTTCCATAACATCCAGGCCTCAAGCAGACAGACAGCAGTCAACACACTAATTCTGAAACATTGAATACAAACACTTTCATTTTGTAATTATAGTTTCATCAATATTCACTGCCATTATATAATTTTTATTTATTTTATTAATTTTGGCAAAACATTACTATTATAATTTGAACTTACTATTATTATGTATAATAATAGTGATATAATTTTAAGAAACAACACAGCAGTTCTTAACATACTAAGCGGAGCATGGCTTGTACAGCAAACAAGACATGTTTTAGTAGTTTCACTACTATTATCATTTACTACCGTAGTAGTATATTGCACACAACCAATCTCTTATGTAAGGGAAAGAAATAGTCCATGCTTTACATGAAATGTGAACCATAATGTCAATAAAATTCCATTGGTTTTAACATTACATAGGAAGTTTTCAATTTGTGTGACGATGTGAAGTTAGAACGGATTCACACATGCATGACTTCCTACATGCATGACTTCTCTGCACATCATAGATTTGGTAAAAATTGCGTCTTAGAATCCACGCGACAAGGAGAACTTAACATTCTCGCATGCGCAGATGAAGTATTATTGACATCATTACGTTCTAGGTTGTACCGCGTTGTGCAATCAAAAGCTTGATAATACTGAACAAATTACCTTTAAGAATGAACCATGAACCATAATGAACCATAATGAACCATAATAAACCATAATGAACCATAATGAACAAAACACTATGTGAAAAAAGTCTTTGAAGGAAATACTTAATCACCTTATTGGTAGAACATTGAAGTTTCCTGCCTCGGTATTGATTTCCTGGTTTGTTGCCTTGCCTAATCCAAATCCTACTGCAAGAATATTCAGAGTAACTGTCACCAATCGAGCTATGATGAATAGGACTGCCCACACAATAAATCTGTCAAGGAAGAGGAATGGAGTATTCTCATCATAATAATATTATAATTTCTAATATATGCATTCCCACCTAAAGAAACAATATTAAGCATGGGGAAGAACAAGATGTTTTTTAAGAGTAGCGGAAAAATGCTCTCTTCTGAATGCTCTTGTTTATCATTAATACTATTAACAGTTCTGTTTTAATTTACATTGCCATTAACAAAATAGAACAATAGGCTTTAAAAGTCTGAACTTGTAAGATGGAAGACACTTACGATGGGTCTGATAGGTCTGGTTTGTCACTGAAATACATAAGTCGAGCAAAGTGGAAAATCATCTCAATAAAATAGTGGATAATGAGGCATACAAGAGTAAGGTGAGTCAAGCTGCAACAAAAACAAAGAATTATGGTCAGATAGAAGCACGGCAAATTTACTGAAAAATTAGCATTGCCATCCCATAGGTTTTTCAGGTCTTTTAACTCTTATACTCCAAGAGATATTTTAACACATTTTTCAACCAGTTACTGTTGGGTAGGAATAACCATTCTGTTTATATCATCATATTTCAAAAGTTCAATACACCTTACGGAAGATGAGCAGTTTACATTTGACACTGCAGAATAAACACTTACTTTAGCAAGAAGCCGGCAATAATTACAATTGAGTAAAGTAGTTGGTAACGGAGCCGGGCACTCATCTCCTCCTGAAAGTAAACAAATATATTAATTAGGTAATATGGGCTTCTAGAAACACTGAGCATTTATTTGTGTATTAATGAGAGCTGAGCAATTATGGGTTTCTCAATGTGCAGTGAGCAATTTGCTTCTTTATGGGCAGTGAAGCAAATGATTCTCAATAAGCACTGAGCAACTACTGTATGGGTCTACTAACAACAGCTGAGCAATTATTGGTTTCTCAGTGAGCAGAAAGAAATGTGCTTTTTAATGAGCAATGTATTATGATTATGGGCTTATTACTGAGAACTGAGCAATTACATATATCTAAATGAACACTCAGTAAATATACACTCAATAATGACTGAGCAAATTTTAATTGTTTACAATAAGTAATATCATGGACAATCTATGCATTATAATAATTATTACAGGCCTATTGACAAGACCCTTAGATAATAAGTATCTTATGATGCTAATGAGACTATCCCAATGAACATTAAGTATGACAAGTATAGCCCTAATGAGCATTGAGTAAAATATGATAGACAAACTCTGGGTAAAAGGTGAGATAGGCAATCTTAGTAGTATTACGTGCCTCTCACAATGTGCAATTGAGGCTTGACAAAACCGGTATACTGTCACTAAATGTTGAACTGAGCAATTAGTATAAGAATGTGGCAGCATTGTATACTTTTATCTTTTTGACCGTTGGCAATTTCAGTAAATGACCTATCATTTTAAAGCCTATATGCAGAAAATATGAATATATTAAAAAGTCAATTTTCTTGTTTTGGTTAGTGATGCTGATTTCAGTATTAATTTTTATTTTGTACTCAGGGTTCTTTGTTCTTCGTCTCTTTTTAATCTGATTGAGAATTTGTAGTTTAAATGTATTTCTAGTTCTGTATTTTAATGTCTTTCATTATCTGATTGAGATTCACCGTTTTGTATTTGTTGTTTAGTATCATAATATATTTTCATGCCTTCTTTTTTTTTTACCATTTTCAGCTGTTTTTTAATGTCCTTCATTTGTAATTTTACATACAATTTGGCACCTTACCAGGATTTGTAAATCTCAATGGTTCAGCAAGACAATCAAACAACTGCTGACCTAAATTAATCTGAAACAGTCTTTTGATTTACAATAAATCTTACAGTTTGAACATTAAAAATCATAGTGGTCAACTCAAAGACAAGAAGAGACATTACACACATTCATACCTTTTTCACTTTCTGAAAGTAAATTTCTGGGAATGTGTGCAGCCAGTACGCAATCTGATGAAAAAAAAAAGATATTATTTTCAGCTATTATGTTCACATTTAGCAATTACATGCTGTCCCAAAACCAGTTTACTGTTGTTTGCAATATGTTAAACTATGTAATTAGCATTAGGATGTGACAGTACTATATACAAGCACTTAATTAAAGCCTTAATGCTTTCACAATTCCAATAAATGACATAAAGCTTACAGTGTGGAATATATGGGTATATTCAAAAGTCAAATTTTGTTGGGCATGGATGTCTTTCATAAATTGTTGGAATTTAGTGGTAGCTTATCAAATAGTAAATACCATTTGTAATTATCAAATTATATGTTCTATGTCTCCATACCAAATATCAAAACAAAACATACACACAAGACCGAACCACTAGCAACAACTGTGGAATTTTGATAGTTTTCTACATAACTAAGTCTTATAAAGAGCTTAGGGAGTACCATTACATAATATAGTCTTTTATTTAAAAAAAAAAAAAAAGAAATAACTGAAAAATACAAAATTTTAAAAGAATAAAGAAATTCAGGTTTTTGTTTTTCATTTCTTTTATGGAGATATAGAAAGTTAATATATAAAATATACTACACCTACTTGAATTACGAAGTAGAACTTGAGAGTGAATGACAAAGTGGCATGTGGGTACCCTTCCCACATAAAAGACAAATTCTGAGTAAATCCTTCCTGTGAAGAAAAGATAATGAAAGAGGCATATTAATTATAAGAATAAGAATAATATTGACAATGGGTACGCTTCCAACATAAAAGGAAAATCCTGAGTAAATCCTTCCTGTGAAGAAAAAATAATGAATAAGGCATAGTAATTCCAATAATGCAATTCCAATAATGAGAATGATGACACTGATGATGATAATCCTTAAAAGCTGATCATTTTGGAGTGTCAACATATAAAATAATCCTTTTTATGACACTTAAAAAAAGTTAAAAAAAACCAGATATTTGAAGGTGAGCGCTTTTAAGTTCCAACGGCTCATTCTATTTTACTTCTTAATGTAATTTTTAACAGTTGAATATGTAGAGAAAATAAGGATTGAAGTTGGAAACAACTTAAACCAGCATACATTGTCTATTAGGCAGTGTGTTATGTCTTTTTGTTGAAATGACATGCAAAATATGCAGTAAGTAGGAGTTCAAAATGAATGTAAATAAATCTAATGGTTGATTTGGTTTACCTTAATCATTGTGTCCATGCCCCAAACAATTGAAATTAGGTAGAAAACTAATAGTTGTCCAGATTCGTTGAATTTTGAGTGCTTTGACTTGGACAAATGCAATTTACGGTTGAGTTTCTGCAACAAAAAAGTCAAAATTTGTCAGAGTTCATTAATCTTTAATTTAAAAAAACAGCACAATTATTACCACCATCACTACGAACATTATCACCATCATTACAAATATTATCACCTGTCATTTCCAAAACTATCACCAATATTACCAACACTATCACCTCTCATTACCAACATTATCACCAATATTACGAACACTATCAACATCATCACCAACACTACCACCAGTATTACCAACACTATCACCATCATTACAAAAATGATCACCTGTCGTTACCAACTATCGCCATCATTACAAACACTATCACCAAAAATATCACCTGTCATTACCAACGTTATCACCATCATTACCAGCACTGCTAAGGTGAGTCGGGTGGCTGAACAGTTCAGGCAGGGCACTGCAACGTATAGGCATAATATCGGCGCTGGTTCAATGGCATGTTTACCTTTAGTTCTGGTGGTGGAACAAGTCTCCTCGAATAAGGACTAAACCATAGGCCCAGTGTACATAATCTCGGCACATGTGCACTTCAAAGAACGAGTTGTGGACAGACTAGATTAGTTACAGTAGTATCGGTTTACTGGGTAGCTCGGACAGGAAGAGACCCTTAGGGAGAAGCAAGTTACTGTACGGTGATGTCAACTTTTTTTTTAAACCCAGTAATATAAGAATAAGCGAACTTACTTGCAACATTTCAAACAGTTTACAATTCAGATGAAATTCTTAAAACAATATTCCTCCCACATTTGCTTTTGACATTTCAAAATATACTAAGGCTTCTAAAAATACATGTTTACCATTTGAATGTTTTTTCTATTGGCACTATTGTATATCTTGTTTGAAATATGTAGACACCATAATGCTGAATACACTGAACACAAGTACATTCACATACTTTATTCACATTCACTCAAATAAAACCTTTAGCTTCATTATTATTTATTATTTAGTTTCATTATCATGTCAACTGATTCAAGTCAGATTCATTTTTGAAACCCTAGGTTACTGAAAAAAGTATGCCAACAAGAGGATCTATATGAAGTAATTACATTCTAATGTAAGATGTTTAAGATATTGAACGTTAAATTTGTAACAAGATATCAAGTAGTCAATTCCTGAAATTTAAGATCAAATGTTACCAACTTTAATGAGAGGATCCTAATTTATGTATCGATGTCAATACAGTATGTGTTCAAATAAAAGAAATATTGATTTACAGTACAGAAAGTTTGCTATTATTACATTAACTACTAACACATTCATAGGTCTAAGCAAGGTAAAGAAACCACAAGTAATATCAATACTTAATTTATTCAAGTTTATTATCCCAAGCAATACATAAAAATATGAAATGAGTCAGAACTTTCACAATGTCTTTGAAGAGGAACCAATATATTTAATGAAATAATATAATAATCTAAAAAAAACTATACAATAAAATTTTCACAGGAGACCAATCGATTTAGTTAATTTTATGATAAATGAAATATTTGGCAGGCTCTGGGATTCATGAGATGCCATTGGAACACAGTAACTAATTTTGCTGATGCTATTAACTACCCTCTGGGATAATAACTGAGACAGAACACGCTTCTGCTTGACCAATAGAGGACAGTTTACTCAAATTCTGTGGTTTGGATTTAAGACAGGTATTTTAATACATTATTTGATCAATTAGTATAGTTTATATTATTATATTATTATAATTATAGTTTACATTGGCCAAAAAGCTATGCTAATGCAATTTCACAACTGACCATGAGGCATGTTGTGGCAAAATGGCTAAGTTATAGCAAAAATTGATATTCAAGTTAATGGTATTTCAGATACCTGAGTATATGATCTTAAAAATGAGTGGTCATTCATTCACATTGGACAATTCAAGCCTAAGTTATTGGAAAGTGAAAGTACAGCACTCCTAGCATCAAGATAAACATGATTTTGAGTAATTGCCTTTCAAAGCTATTTGTGCATACATTGTTTAATAGAATGTAATATTAAAATAACATTAAATAAACAATTTGTTGACCACTTCCAGAACTAATACTTTGGGACATGATTAATAAGACATTAAACTGTTGATCTATAGTGAAAAACAAATTTGGATTTATAGGCAATTTTTGAGCTCCCATATTTTATAGCTCATTTACTCAATACTGGACTGTGCGACCATTTAACCATTTCGCCACAACATGCCTCATATATGGGTAATACATATTTGTCAAAGCATTGTACTTACATCAAGCAAGTACTCCTGGACCACAGCATGAAGAACAATAGTGATCAGGAAATAGAAGAAAATCGAACAAAGGTCCTTCATGCCATATGTGTACAGTGTTAATTGCTCAGGTTCTGAAACAAAGAAATATTAATAATAAATAAAAATAAATATGATAACTTTTTCATTTCAACTACCGACCATTTCTGTCAATTTTAAATTCACTACACTATTAATATTAATTAGTTACAAACTTTTAGAGCTGAAAAGTAATTGGTGCAGAGTTTGTGGCTGGGACTCTCAACCCTGAGGTTCAAAACACTTGCTGTGCAAGTCACTTAAGTCCTAACCTTAGGCAAGACACATTATCTACATTTGTTTTTCTCTACCCAGGAGTATAAATGGGTACTGGCATATGCTGGGAAGGTAAAAATTTTAACTTGATGTAGGGGATGAGTGGCAAACCCCCCCCCCCCCCCCCCCTCCCAATCTTGCACAGTCTGACACAAATGCCATACAAAAGGAGACAGGCACTCTACGGCCTGTGAAGCCCAGAGCTTCTGGTTTCAACCTTTACCTACCTGCCAGAGCCAAAAATGTTAATGGCAATAACAAACACAGTTTGTTTTATTGAAAAAAGAAGACATTGAAAATAAAACAGGTGTGTGTTCCATTAAAATTTTCTATTGATCACAACTTAAAATATTTAATGGGCATATTAACTTAATGAAGAGGTATATTTTTAAATTATTTCAAAAAATATAAGTGCATTGCTAGAAACTTCAAATTTCTGACTTTTGATGAACATGCAATCAGAAGAAGATAAACACTTGCTGATGGTTATACTGAACAATGGCATATAGATTATATTTATCAAGTTTGTAACAATTAAAGTAAAAAATCGAGGCTGTGGTGCTTGCATTTAAAAAAAAAAAATTGTGGTTTGGTCCTACTGTATGTGATGCCATAATATTAAAAATTATTTTACCTTTGTTTTCCTCTGATGTGTTGACAGTCAGATTATGTTGCATAGTCACAAATAATGTTGCAAACGGAGTTGAAACCTGAGAAAAAAAATAATGAAGAGGTATATTTTTAAAAAGTTAGAAATTGTAACGGAAAATTATTTCAAAAAATATAAGTGCATTGCTAGAAACTTCAAATTTCTGACTTTTGATGAACATGCAATCAGAAGAAGATAAACACTTGCTGATGGTTATACTGAACAATGGCATATAGATTATATTTATCAAGTTTGTAACAATTAAAGTAAAAAATCGAGGCTGTGGTGCTTGCATTTAAAAAAAAAAATTGTGGTTTGGTCCTACTGTATGTGATGCCATAATATTAAAAATTATTTTACCTTTGTTTTCCTCTGATGTGTTGACAGTCAGATTATGTTGCATAGTCACAAATAATGTTGCAAACGGAGTTGAAACCTGAGAAAAAAAAATATGAAAACAAAAAAACTTTTTTTATAACCAGAAGAAATGTCACACATTTCGGCCACAAACCAGTTTGGCGATGACACATTCAACGTCATTTGTACGGAATGCCAATTAGCATAATCTGCACGATTCAGGTCTGTAATAATGTGTACCATGTGTTATGAGAAAAAATGTCAAATTAACTAAAATATAACATCTTTTGCTCAATAAGGAGTAAAATAAGGTTTCTGGTCAGGTTTGCCTATTCTTCTGCTGATTACAGCAGCAACACTTAAGCATTTGGACCTAATGAAGTTATGAATGGCACTATAAAATCAAAGGTTAAATAACCCATAATTCGTTGTGCTAAATTGTGTATGGGTATGGTTTACTGTAGACTAGCGTAGCAGCCAAAAGAAGCAGTAGAACTTCCAAAGGCAATCATAGCACCCACAGAAAGAAAAAAAATGTGAACAAAAACCATAACTTAATTCAATAGAAGCTTAAATAAAAAACATTGGTTCATCAAGATTCAAGTAATTAACTTATTAATACAAAGAGTGCCCATTCACTTTTATATAATCTTCTACTAGACCATATGGATGCAACTCCATGCTTATGCTTACAGCAGGCCTCCTAAAAATCATACCCACGGCCTAATTAATGCCAACTGTTTTCCCCTACTATTCAATTACATAATCATATTACATTTATGCTGACTGCTTGAACTTTTAATTAGCAATATTGGCCTATATAAACCAGAATGGTTCCCAGTACTGTAAAAAGCAAAACATATGTTGTTGATTATTATATATAGGCCTAGCTAGTGAGAGCCTATTCTATTTAATGTGATGCAGAGAAATTATTAAAAAATGGATTAACATTCGAGTCAAATCATTGCTAATATATTAAACAGTGGCTGTTTGTAGTTTTAGCTATGCTCTGTTATTGTTCTTTGACAGAACTATCCATGCTTAGGCTACGCCTAGTTTCAGTGAAGCCTAGCTAAGCTAATTTATATCTAGGCCTAGGAGCCTAGGCTAGGCCCTTGTTGTTGTTAATGTTTATTTTTTTTCATCGAAAGTTTGTGGTGGTTGCGGATGTAAATTTCGGAAACCAAGCGTTTGAAGTGTATTCTACACAGTCTGATGTATAATCAGTGCATATCATTATTTAAAATGGTTTTAAATTAAAATAATTACAATGCTAAACTTAAAACATATGTCAAAGCTTGGCGTTGTCTTTAGCCTATCCACCACACAGCAGCAGAAAGGGGAACTGCTGATGTGGCATTACGAATACGGCCGCGGTGGATCAGCCGATCTGTCAGCCGGTGGCCAACACGTGTGATTGCTAGCTACCGTATGCAAAACTATACCTGGAACATCAGCCCAACAACGATGACCATAGCAATACATGAAACAATATCTGCATGGTTTTGAATGATAAATTCATGACTAAATATTGGTGGGTTCTTGGTACTTCCAGTCTTCCGTTTAGCACCCATTTTGAAGTCTACTTTTCTTGTGCAAGAGGGTCGAAGTCGAGCGCGAGCGTACAGACCAGAAAAAAGTTTTGCGCATGCGTTAGATTATGAGGCCTTTTAATGGCAGACCAATGACATCCCCAGGGCCTGATCCAATTTCTTGTGTTCCACGTTTATCAACTCTTTCTGTCGTTCTAGCACAGAATTTTCGTTGTAAGATATGTGACAGTTTAAGGTAACATAATGTCGTGTATTTATTTTATGGGTTGCATGACATTCACAATTCATTCACAGTTGATAGTGTTTTCTCCTCTTAGCCTCTTCTACATCAACAATTTTATTTGAGGCTGGCCTTTGTTGTAGCCAGTGATTATCATGCAAATGAACAATGTGTTCAGAACCAAATAAAGCATGTGAATTCCATGGTCTAATTTTGTTAATTCAAATCAAGGGGTCATTTTTTTCAACTTGAATTGTAGTTCAAAGTTTTCTAAGTGAATACTAATTGTCAATGTGCAATTATTAAGAGCTTAATGTTGGAAATTACTTAAAAGTGTAAAATTTACAACCAAGGTTTGCAGTCATATTCAGCAACCAATCAGAAGAGAAATATATTCCATGTGACTTTGGGTTATTGTTGAACTCTCCTTTGCACAGACTCACATTGTAAATAGTGGGCCATGCTTGCACAAATCTGAGACTACAGTACTTTCAAGGTATTCTACATGTGTTCTAGGTATTAAAGACTTAACGGTTTGTAATGTTTATAATTGAATCAAGAAACTTACAAATATTTTTTGCTGAACATTGTTTCATTCCTAAATTTTAACATATTTGTTCACAGCCTATGGTGTACATGTCTGCCATTTTTGTTCAACTTGGATGGAGTGGTCTATTTGCCCTTTGATTTCCCAACTATAAATATAGCCGGTATCCTGGTGGTGACACAGGTTTAAACGTTATAAAATATTGTTTTCAGGAAGGCGGATGATTATATTTCTTACACTTGCTATTGAAAAGAGTTAGCATGATACGTTATGTAAGCCTAATATTACACAATGGTGTGGTTTGCTTGAAGTCTATTTTGACTGCGAGACTCTTTATTGATCAAATAATCTTACTACGGATACATTCTCACAGATTCCCAGAATTCTTACGTATGTTGTTATATTGATCTCAGTCGCCTAAACTGGTGGTACGTCCACTGCATGTTCAATCCTTGTAAACTAGTGGCACCGCATATCAAGGAATCTTGAAATGAGGGGAGGACTGATGGGGACGCGCTGATGAGAGCGCGAAGGTGAAGTGGGGGCTCATGATTAAGTGAGGGTGTGCTAGCTCACAAAATAAGGTGATAGGTACTTTTAATGTACTTTCTTTGTTTCAAACATTTTTAATTGGGAGGGGGTTGGTGGCGCAAACTTTTTTTGGGGATGTGTGCTCCAGCGCACTCTCCTAGGTATGCGACTGTGCAGAACTTTTGTCTGTGAGCTTCCCAATGTAGAGGCCCTACTACCAGAAAGATCCCCCTGAAGACACACAAAATTTATGCAAATTGCCCAATCTATAATGATTAATAATGCTATGACTTAGGCCAAAGAAAAAAAAATCTTGTGTTGGCTACGTTTATTTTGGGAAAATAAAAAAAATGGGTAGGTCGGTAGGAAAAGACTTTTCTTTTTTTTTTTCCCTACCAATATTGTGTTTACTATATGCCTAAAAAGTAGGAAATACACAACAAAGACCATTTTTAAATCTATATTGAAGTGCAAAAGGATCGCATAACACTGTCGCAAGATAAGCTCATTCAAGCCTTTTTAGCTCATTAAAAAAATATTTTTCATTGTAGTCAAAAAAAACAAAAAAAAAACTGAAATGCCGATTCTCAATTTCAAACATTTTGGGTCTGTAGGGTGTGGCCATCACAATAATTTTTTTTTATTTGGCCTAATTGATTGGGTAGATAATCTATCTTTCGTAAATTTCTATTGGTCTGATTGTTTTTTTCAGGTATTAAATTACAAGATTCGGTATGTCAGCTGATATATCTTCAATATCAAGTTCTTGTCCATCCCCAGTGAGCAACTCGGATACGAGCTTTACATCAGATGTAGCCTCCCCAGCAGTTGAGACACCTCCATTTGCCAAAGATCTACCCTTAGCTTTGCGTAGAGCACACAGGAGTAATGCCGGGTAAGGCCTTCTTAATATTGTTTATCATTTTAGGCAAAATAAATTAATTATGTTACCGTATATACTGTAATCAAAACTAATGGAAGAAACATTTTCAACACATGCCAGGGGTGGGCATAAAAATCGGTCGGAGTGACATAGCGATTGTTTGATTTAACACCGAGGTCCGCACCCAAAATTTAATTTTTCCAGATGCACTATTTTATACCACTTTATTCTCAGTTTTAATATGACATGTACTTTTTACAGATGATCAGTGTCGGGCCATAAAAAACAAGGTGTTTCTACCCCAAAGATATTTGGTGGGCCGCACACATAGGTTTTTTATTTAAATTTTGCGAGCCACAGAAAAATCACTATCAGGCCGCACTTTGCCCACCTGTGTTATAAACCAATTAGGCGACGTTTGTTTACAGCAGGTATAACCATGGAAAATATTACAGTGCGATCAGTGTAAAAGTATAGGAAAAGGTAATGTTTATGGTTGCAAAAACAACCACCCACTGTTAACATGAGAAATAAATGGCAAGGAAAGACAATACGATTGTTCAAAAGTGTTTATTTACTTATTCTAGCTTTCCTTGTATTGTATGCTTTGAAGTTTATGGGATCCTTCGTAAACCTTAGCTAGCTTAGAAATCCTAGCGTAGTTCACGTGTCAAAGACTTGTGCATAGCTAAACAGGCCGTAGAGATATGCAGGGACCTAGGCCTAACATTTTTGTCGAAAAAACAAAAATGTATATTTTTGGAGCATTAGCAAACCATTAGGGCAAAATTCTCAAGTTGAATTTCTAATCAATTTGGTATAGTTTACTGGCGTCCCAACCAAGGCACTTTATCTGCATTGCTTCTCTCCACCTAGGAGTATAAATGGGTACCTGGTAGGGTTAAATGCCAAAATGTGCTGATGTAGCTGCTGCAACTTTATGGAACAGTTTGTGTTCCATAGGCATCTAATCCAATGACCGGGGTTAGTAATGTGAAGCGCTTAGAGGCCTTTGTTGGCATTAAGTGCTATATAAATAACATATTACTATTATTATTCATCATCTATGGGCACAGGGTGCTGTAGTAAAGGTCTAGCTATCGACGTATATTTCCTTGAAATATGACCAAGATTTGCTGTTGTTATCCCTAATTCCCTTGGACGACCATTCACACAAAGTTTGTGTAGGTGAATTTTGGGACATCACCAATCAATTTGAGCTACATTTACACTAGACATGATTACGATACGACGATACAATACAAATGCATGCAGTGTTGAAGAATGTCGTGTCATTATTGTGTCTATTGTAAAGCTAGATTTAGAGTAATTTAAAGCACGTCCAAAAGAACAAATACAGCAATTATGATGATCTTTATAGCAATAAGAAGGGACAGCCACCTAGCAATAATTGGTCAATTGTTATATTCCAGTAGAACTACCTTTTTTCTAACCTGGTTTGGATCAGTAGTCGTTATGGTCATGCAATAACACACGTTGAGAGTAATTATGTGTTTTAACTCCACATTACAGTGAATTTACGAGGCATTATTTAAGTATTATCCTATCTATTTTACACCAAAATAAAAATGCCTTTTTCAAATAAATGACTCCCTCAAATAAAATGCCCTCTCAAAAACTCTTCTCAACATAAATGGCCTGGGGAATTTATTATTAAAATAAATACAGTAATTAGATAGACTTGGAACTCATGTCTGCAGGACAAGAGAACTCCAGATATGAATTGAGCTCGAACTTAGGAGACGATCTTTTCCTGAACATAGAAGAATTTACTAAACTACATATTGACCAGACTTGCTATTAGACCAGAAACAGAAAGATCATAGCAGTTAAGAGCACACAGATTAGCACCTCAGTCCAATGGCACTATGCTAACTTGGTATTTATTCTATTGGGTCTATCTTTGGTGTGTGTTTTTAAGATCAACTGATAGTAAATTTAAATTGTGTACAACCTGGAGGTTTTATTTTAGGATATCTGAATTTTTCAGATCATAATGTTTGACTTTTTCCACGCAGTGCTACTTGAGAAGGAAAACCTATATAAAGAGTTCAAATTCTGTGAACAATTCTTCAATATAGAAGTCAGGTTTGAGGTTTAAGGATTATTTCCTTGTGGATCTCAAGAATGATTTTATATAAATTCTCCTACCATCCTACAACCTGTTTTATTCAGATGAATGACCAGATTATCTATTTGGGAGTCTCAAAAATGTCTTCCAACAATCATAAAAACCTAGATTAGAAAACAGGAAGAAGCTGATATTATTACTTCTTGGAAATAGGTTATTTACGAAGCAAATTCTTCATGGGCAACTACATGGATGTGCGAGTCAAGCTTTACTTTAGTCACATACATACCTAAAAAAGTATGGAAATAAGTTTACCGTAATACAGGTTGCTCTTCACCCCGATTACATAGATCCTCTGTACGCCAAGCCGGCAAAACTTTTTGGACCTTATCAAGAATTTGCAACTGAGCTTCACTTCTATATATCATCTGCGGACAGGTATTTTGTTTCCACTACCGTTCACCACCGAGACATTCTGCCTCAACAAAGGAAATTGGACAACAATATGGAAAGAATCATAAAATATTCTATTAAAGAAAATGATCTTCACTCAGTCGTACAAAAATGCCCACCTACAAGTCCAATTTTAAATTCTGTAGAGGCAAAGGGCTGCCTTAATCTTGGGAGGGATCCCATTCCCAGGTTGTTCACCCATTCAGTAAGGATCCTTATCTAATCATTGTATTTCTGTTTATATTTTTGGCATGGAGCTACAACAACAGACTACCAACGATTCAATTAACTTATGGAGGCTGAAATATAGTGCATGCAAGATGCCATCACACCAAGTAAAAACATGCTCACATAGCTATTGGTACTGTGACACTAAAACAGAAATTAACATTGTTTGTAAAATAAACTAAAACTCATATAGGAACTTGGTAAATATAGCTTTATCAAAAGTGATCTATTTTTATTGACCTCATTTGCATTGTATATAATACAGAAACAAACAAAAAAATCATCATGAATTTCATATCATTGCATTAGATAATTACAGTACTTATTATACACCAGCCAACTTTCATAATCCTTGTTGTTGTACTTCTTTTATAAAGACAGGCATTTTTTAATCATTAATGTATAAAAATCTTAAGAAATAATTTTCTGCCTTACCTGTTAGAAATTAATTTATACACATTGGCTTTAAATAGTCAATGTAGTCATTTTTATTGCCAGTAGTATGCTGCTAATTTCAATTTAATCTTTTTAAAGAGTCATAATGATTATTACTATAGTAAAAAAAACATGAAATTACAGATGATCAAAGGATATTTTTATTAGGCAATGTAAAAATTCAAGTTTAGATATTTTGCATTGCTAATATTTCCACAAGTTTTTTTTTTTATTTAATAATAATGTGTCTTTTATTAATGAAAAGCGATAAAATGCTCTGTAATTAATTCAATTTGAATTAAGATATTTATAAAAATATATTTTATTTGTTATTGCACACACTACAAACGTAAGGAAATTTTATCATGCCCGTCGCTGTCATTAATTCCCTGATAAAATTTTTTAAATTTTTCATTCACATTTATTGAAAGCATACCAATATGAACTGTTTACGTTGCAACATATTTACGACCCTGTGATGACATGTCGGTCGTGGGCCTACCATGTTGACCTGTTATAAGAAGGTGGCTCAAAAACCAAGCTGACTTCTAGAGCCCCCTAGCAATACAAGACCTAAAAATCAAAACTACATAATTATGTACAAAATAATTAAGACTTTAAGTTATGATTCAGTTTGCAAATAGAAGCATAAAGTATTAAAATTAGCAACCAACAAGCCATGCAATTCCAAATTTAATATTAATAAGCATTACATACTATTTGTCTCCAAATAATACTAAAATTAACATACTCTTCTTACACTATGCCCATCATCAAACTAGTGAAATAATGTAAGTAGTAATTAAATTTGTAATAACGAACATAAAACTTTACAAAGTACTATAAAAGATGAGAAAATTATTCAATAGAAATGTATCTCACGATATAACAAAAATCATGCAATATTGTCCAAATTAGATTATAATTCCATGAAATACAAAATTAAATATGAATTGAACATAAAAATAATGATGTACGGTAATTAAAATCATAAAAATATTACTCTCAATAGACGAGTGTTTAATAATTGTATCATTCTTTGCTCAGGATTTTGGTTGAATTTCAGGAAATCCATAGTTATTAAGTGAATTTTGAATTTAATATTCTTGTTAGATTAGGCTTTATATTTTGTTACAACAGTTACTGTATTTTGATAGAGATATTACTAGAATAATTATAGCTTTATAGTTTGATTGACCAGAAGTAATGCAGTATGTTTATATAAAATGTCCATCGTGTAAGCTACTGTATAGTATGCAGTAAATATATTGTGTACACTTGTATACAGAATCACTATGTAGTAGATAATTCCTAGATTGGGAAGGTATGATTGACATTACATGTTTTAATTCATATAAAGAAATAGTGGTGATATCACTATTTAATGGATATAAATGTATAGATGCTGTTCTTCATGCATGACTCATCTATTCCCATATTTTACAAGAGGTTTTCCCAAAAAGCCTGAAAATTTTAACCAATCAATAACCATAAAAATATACTCGTAGCATTCTCACAGTATGTTAATATTAAGTACTTAGATCTTTCATTTGACATTTTAAGTGGGATTGCTTTTAACACAGGAAAAGCTAAAGAATGGCTGCCATCTTGGAAATACATGCATTCATACAACTACTATGCGTAGTGCTTTGTAAGTAGTTGTCATCATCATGGGGTCAACAGGGTGAGCAGTGTTGTGCTGCCATTGGCTGTTGTAATCACGTGATCTAAAGGCCTTTGATTATTCAATAACCAAGCTGTATAATGGCCTTCCTATGCTGTCAGGCTTTTTTGGATTCTATTTTGTTAAATATATGACTGATTTTTTATTCTCTTATGGAAAATGTAGCCTGTACACTCTATCTTAGTAAATCTGTGGATTTCCTATACATTTCTAAGTATCTTCCCTGAAGAAAAATATCATTGGATTAAAAAAATCTGTCTAAGATTTGTTAAAAACAGTATCATGAATGGGAAAAAACGGTAAGTTTCCTGTCGAGGATACAAAATCTGTACACTATTTTGTACAATTTTGTAGGCTTTTTTTTATTTTTGTGGAGAACTGGTAACATAATGTTGATGCGTTTTTGTTGCACGGTTTCTTCATGGCTCTGCTTGATCCGTATATGTTGAGTCTTGATCCTTAAATTGCAATAATGTTTTTTCATTGTCGTGACAATCCAAACTCTGACATAGGTTTAGTATAGCGAAATATGGACAGGAATTAAGTAATTACCTCTTTCTTAACAATTTGTGTTTATATATATATTTTAACTATCTCTCTCACCTATCACCATAATTCCTTTGTAGTTATGTATTTATTTTATATATATATTTTAACTATCTCTCTCACCTATCACCATAATTCCTTTGTAGTTATGTATTTATTTTATTTTTTATTTGTTTATATATTTATTTAAATTTGTTTATTTATTTACTTGTTTATATATTTTTTCATTAATTAAAATTTACTTATTTTTATATTTACTTGTTTATTGTACTAGTTTTATTTACTAGTTTTATGTTTTTATTTGATTCTTCATTTTTTTATATATTTATTTAAATTTGTTTACTTGTTTATATATTTTTTCATTAAATTTACTTAACATATATTACCTATATCCTTACTACTACAGTATAATACAACTTACATTAATTAATAATTAATTTTAAATCAATTATGGAAAGTAAAATCTTTTCCAGACATTTCTATTACAAAACATACAGTTATTTCAATGGCATTGTTTCTATAGGACAGATTACTACCGTATGTCAGCATATTTCTGCTTTGCAAATTGTTTTTGTTTTTTTAAAGATGCAGGTTCTAGACTTTAACTGTTAATAGTATTTTCTCTCAGCAAGATTCATCTTCCCCTGATTTCAGATAGGCGGTGGTGATCAGTTGAAAATTTTGGTCAGATCTATGCCTCTCCCTTCTATGGTGAAATAATTTCTACTTTTTAGACCTACACAATTTCTAATTTGGCACAATTAATTATTTACTTTTTGTTTTCATTGTTATTTATTTGATTGATGCAGTATTGACTAGTATTATTGAATAGATTTTTAGCATTCCATATGACAGAGGCTTGATAGTTATCCTACTAAGAAACCCATCTCAATTTTTCTACTTCTGTAATTGTTTAACTGTATAGAATATGAGAAGGAACTATGAATAAGCAGTTCCATCTTCCAAACTATTTCTGACAATAGCACCTTAGTGATTGGCCTACTGATATGTTATAGGGAAGGATGGCCACTCCTCTCCATAGCACCGCTGCTTGTAGCTAATGTGTGTTTACTGAACCATGGAGATTATTGGACCTCTGGTACAATTATAGTACAGTATAATAAAAATTGACTGGCACTCTACTTTGGTTTTAGCTGGAGGGTTCAAGGAAGGTCAAGTTCACCTAAAAAACTTACATTCTTTATCTGGATGTATGTATTGAATTGTCATGTATTTTATTTTTTTAAAGAGGGCCCCTGAATATCAGCTGTCCTTCTTGGCTTAGCTGGAAGATTTACCCTCTTTAAATATGAAATTAAAATATTTAATAATATTTAGCGCAAATAAAAAAATAAAAAAAATTCCCTTGTGCACATGAAAAAAATCATAACTGAAGATCCACTATACTTAAAGATTTCACTGATCAATCATGTTGTATCCTTTACTTTTACGAGCAGTGGTATGATATTTGTGTATTTACTGAATTCACTCTCTGATCATGCTTTCCTTTACACAGGTTACGTAAAGAGCCATACATTTTGGTTCCTGAGAAGTTTGAAACTAGTCTATCCAGAACCAAAGGCAAGTACTGTACTGAGGATATATTTATTTGATTATAACATATGGTTTGAAATCATTATAAGCGTAATTACTGTACATCTCATGTAGCACCATTTTTCAGTGATTATGATATAGCAGTCATTATTATGTTGCAGATTTTATGATGTAAAATGATGCAGCAAATATAAGATAGCATTTTTTTTTAATCATTCTTTATTAAAGAAAACATTATAGAAGAATGTCACAAAAAACCCAGGTCATGGCTTAATTAGGCACATGCAGGGTCGAGGCAAAACAGAGATGACAAAAAACAAGAAATCAATTACAAATAAAGACAATTCTTATGATGTAGCATAATATAATGATGTAGCAAGGACTATGTGGTAGCAGGTATTTTGATGCAAAATGTATTGTAATGTAGCAGATATTACGAGGTAATAGTACTAATGCAGGTATTATGATGTGGTAGTGCTGTGATTTTCAAATTCATTCTCAAAATATCATTTGTGTAGTACACTAAAATTCCAACAGATGAACACAACATAATGACTACAATAAATTGCTTGTACAAAAATTAGATGTAGCATAAATATTTACTTACTCTAAGTACACAAGTATATTGTTTGTGTGATTTATATTTAAGGAACTTCTGGTAATAATAATTAACTAATTAGGAAGAAGGTAGATTTGTTACCTCATTGTTGTTGTTATCGAAATAGCATTGGTTTAGCAAGTATTATAATTATTATCAGGATTGTAATAATAAAAAAAGACTTGATTATTTATTATAATACGGTATGGATTTTCATGTTCCAGACTTGCAACAATAAATCAAATCTTTTAGTGTATAAGAAATTAGCTAGTTCAAACTATTTTGAAATTCTATGAATATTAAAACTTTGCTAAACAAACATTCTGTCCATCTTACAGACCTCAAGATAACTCTAAAACGAAAATTAGATACAGCACATTCCAACAAAGGGGATAAGAAAAAACCAGTTGGGGAACGAGACGATTATGTTCCTTCCTCCAAGAAAAAGAAGAAAATACCAATAAAGCGACGTGAGCAGGTAGGTCTGCAAAAAGAACGATGGGTTAAATTTCTTATTTGGGGGGGGGGGAAATTACCAGGAATTTACTAATGAAAGAATGATTAGTTTGTCTGATTTTGCCAGTTTCCCTGAAAAATTGAACTTGAGACATTTATTCCAGACATGAAGCAGTGAATGCTATTGTCATTTGATTTATTTATTTGCTTCATATTTTTATATTATATCGTTTATACAGTATATCACTGATGAAGTTACTCAATACCTACAGTAGATTTATATGACAAGTTACGTAAGTTTTTTATATGAAAGTTGCGTAAATTTTCATACAGTGATTTTAATTTTTCTGAGTTATATTTTGATACTTAACCAGGATTCTAGTAACGACTTTTACTGTTGGATTTGTCACCGAGAAGGGTCTGTTATCTGTTGTGAATTGTGCCCAAGAGTCTACCACTCACGATGTCTGCAGTTGAATGAGGAAACGGATGGAGACTGGTTCTGCCCAGAATGTCAGGTAATCAATAGTTTGCCATGGCGACTATATCTTTTGTGGGTTATCCCTAGGATGTTCACACCAAATATATCCAATCCAATGCAATCCTACCAGTGTATGTAGCAATTTAATTTTCTTCCTACTGTTTGCTGCAATGTTTGTACATGGAACCATCTGCCCTTTCAAATATGAATAAGGTAAACATCTTTGATATTTTCCAAATAGAAAATAATGAAAGCAGAATGTGTGGAGACTCAGTCCCGTGCAATGAGCATGTTATCAGTTGACCAACTCTCAAGACTTCTCATCTTCTCACTACAGCGGATGAAGCACTCTTGGGTATGTTCTAATTTTTTTAATTTAAGAAAGCACTTTCATTACTTAAAAAAACCTAACATTGCCTTGCAACACACTGACATAGAGGCAGAGATAGGATCTCCATTATTAAGGACTACTTCCTTTCTTCACACTGGTGGAAAAAATTGTATCCTTTAGTACTGCATGCAAACTAAAGCTCTATCTAGATTATCAAATTTTCGTCAACAAAAAAAAAATGTTGCATGCCCATATATAGTCATGATGTGCCTATATATGGTCATGATGTGATGTCATCATGACCATATTTAGGCATGTTATATATATATTTTCTATTGTACATTGCCCTCAACACAAACATGTAAACAGTGTGCAACTATTCTGCTATATGCTTCCTGATAAGTAGGCCTGTTGCACATAATGCATCAACATTCATCATAACACATTTAATCTACAGATCCTCTTGTTATAGCTCTTTATTTTTCCTATTATTTTTTTTTCTTTATACGAACTAATTTTTATTATTTTATCACAAGCTTATTAGATCATGCATTATTTACTTTATTGTAATATTTTCAGGCCCAACCTTTCCTGAAACCAGTGGATTTGGAGACAGTACCTGAATATTACGAGTACATTTTCCATCCAATGGATTTATCAACCCTTGAAAAGGTTGGTCACATCTTCTGTCATTATATACTCAATAAAGAAAAAATAAAGATGGTAGATGGGAATCAATCACATCTGTCATTATACTCAATAAAGAAAATTAAGATAGTAGATGGGAATCAAAGTGAAAATGGACAAATCTGTTTTCAAATGTTTTTTTACAGAATATAAAGAGTAAGAAGTATGGATCAACAGATGCATTTATAGCTGAAGCCAAGTGGATACTGCACAACTGTATTGTATATAATGGATGTAGGTTATTTACTATACACTTTTACAACAGTATTACCAACCCCATTTCCCCATTATATTTTTTATGCCTTGAGAAGAGATTATACTGTTTCCTGTTTACTTGCAACTGCACAATGTATTCCATGATCTACCTGTATATTTCTTCTTTTTCTAGCCAATCACAAGCTTACAAATAATGCCAAGATGATCATTAAAATATGCAAACATGAAGTAAGTAGCACTAGTAATTACTGTCTACAAAACATATCTTACTTATTCAAAAGTTTAAGAATCATTCTGTCTACTATTTATGTTTATAAAAGTTTTTCTGTTTTGGTTTTCTGTTTTTTAGATGAGTGAGATTGAAATATGTGAGGATTGTTATTTATCATCATGTATAAAGAGAGAGAACTGGTTTTGCGAACCTTGTGTAAGTATCCCCTCTAATTACATTTACCTGAGTTTTATAATAAAAAATATATTATAATAATAGGAGTTTTTAGAGTGGGCTACAGCAGGATTCGAACTATGACCCAATTAAAATCCCAGTAATATTTGTTTTATATACCACTACATAGATTGTAGGTATATTGATGGCTGGGACAATTTCCCAGATTTTAACCAAGCAAATGCCTGGAATATAATATAAAATACTATGAAATGCATGTAAAATGCAATACAACAAATAGTAGTCTTCAGACCTTGTTCTATTCCTTTTGTTTCATTTAATTTATCATGTTTTTGTTCATTTTCTGGCAGAGAGAACCTCACCCATTGGTTTGGGCACGTTTGCAAGGTTTCCCATTCTGGCCTGCAAAGGTGAGATTCAAAACCATTAAGCATTGTACAGCAGGATAGTTTCTTTATGTAATAGGAAGATTATGACAAGACCAAATCCACCAGGTTAATTACGATACAGCCTTGAGTATTGGTTTTTGAAATACAATGAACAAAAATCAACTCACTTAATTCCAAGGATTTGAATGTTCACTTTGAAATATAATACAGTAATGATAATGACAAGATAAAGAATAAAGGACATAATTTGATGTGATTTGTATAGGCAAGATATCTGCCTGTCTGTCCATAATATTGTTCTCTCAATAAAAAAAAATTGAATTTTTTATTAAAAAAAAAAAATTAAATTATACTTAATTTTTTAAGGCTTTGCAAACAAAGAAAGGTCAGGTTGATGTGCGATTCTTTGGTCAGCATGATAGGTATGTACGATTATACTTATATTTTTTTTTTTTTTTTTTTTTTTTTTTGTATTTTTGAAGATCGAATACATAGATTTTGCCATCTATTCATCCAATATGACGTTACAAAAAGCTATGAAGTATTATAATATTCTGTATTTGGTTTAAGGTATATTTTGTATATTTTACACCGTTTTTTATTCTAGTTTGTATTAAAGTAATTTGTACTCCTATGAATACATCTTTTCAGAGCCTGGGTGCCAGTTGCAAACTGCTACATGATATCTGAGGAAATTCCGATTACAACGAAAAAGAAAACAAATGGTTTAAATAATGCTATTACAGAGATGGGTGTGCACATTGAGAAAATATGCAAGAAATTTGGCAAGTTTGACTATGCTCCTTATCGTACACCATATGATCCTAAAAACACAAACTGGAAAAAACCAATTAATACCCCAGCTGCTATGAAAAAGAGCAGGAACAAGATAAGTATCTTCCAAAAGTCTCCTGTAATTTCAATCAAGAAAGAGCCATTGGATGCCTCTGGTGAACACATTTTAGTTGAGGACAAATCTAGGTTGTGCTTACTAACAAATGAAACTGTGAAACCAAATGATAATGAAGATTCTAAAAATATTGAGAAAAATACAGATACCAGGGAGCCTAAGGGCACTGGGAAGTCAAACAATAATGTGGAACCTAAAGATACTGGAAAACCTAATGACACAGAGAAGGCAACTGATACTAGAAAGCCAAATATCACTGAGAAAGTAAAGGATGCTTCTGTTGAATCCTCAAACAAATGTGATTCAATATCAGATGAAAATGCTGACACCTGCACAAGTATCGATGTAAATAGAACAAGAGAGCCAGAACCTACTGCTGCTAAAGAGGTCAGTTCCAATGACAAGCAGGGAATTGACAAAGGCAAAAACAAAACTGAAGAGATGGAAGATAATAAGTCGAGTAACATTGAAGCTGGACCAGAGGCAAGCAATGAAATCTCTAAAACAGTTGACAATACTGGATCTGTAAGTGAAGAAAGTACTGACATTCCTTCTGCCACAACTCCTGGTGTGTTTGAGGTCTGTGATGTCTCCTTGGAAATGGATGTTGAAAAGGTAGAAGATCAATCAGCAACCAAGTTACTGGGCAAGGAAAAAATGTCACCAAGGCCCAAGCCATTAATTGAAAAATTGGATGAGAAGAAGTTGGAGAAATGTACAGGGAATATAACAGAAGAATCTTTAGATAAGATGATTGATGGTGATTCCATAGATGTGCAAAAAGAGACTAAGATTGAGGGGAAGGACATTAAGGAAACAAGTGAAATTAATGAAAAGAATGATAATCATGGCAATACAAACCAAGAAAAACATGATGAAAAAAGGACAAATGAGATGGATACATCGACTGATGGTCAAAAGCCTATCTCAAGTCGGGATAATGAAGCAAATTTAGAAAAAGAAGATATGGAAGGGTCCAACAAAAAAGATGAAAAGAAGGGCGAGATGACCTTGCAGCAAGGCCTACCCAAAAGGGACACATTTATGGAAAAACTGGGTAAAACAATTGAGTCTTGTAAAGCTTTGCTGGGTTTGAAATCTGAGCTAGAGGACAAAGAAGCAGATACTCAGTCGGAGTCAGAAAGTGAGGAAAGTGAAAGTGATTCTGAAAGCTCAGATGAAGACATTGAAGAAATTGGTTATGAGGTCAGGAGAAAGAGGAGTTGCAGTTCTGAAGAGGCAATGGATGTTGATGACAACTCAACTGAACAAAGTGGAAAGATCTCCCCAGTGCCTGATGAAGATGATGTTACAAATGATGAGCAACGTAAAAGTCCTTCAATAGAATCTGATGTATGCATGAATAATGACAAGGAATCTGAAGAAGACATGATGAAACCAGAATCTAAAATGGCTGATGAAACAAGTGGTATAACTTTCCAAGTCAATGAAAATACTACCAAAGTTCAACCTGTTAACCTTGGAAATGCATCACAACCAACAGTACCTGATCAAAATGGTATGGATGCCATTATTGATTTGTCTGGAGTGAATAATGAGATTGATCGTAAGTCTGATTTTGTAAATGTAAAAGAGGACAGTGATAAAATTACAAAAGAGGATGATAAAATGGAAATTAATGAGAAAGAATCTAAGATTCATCAAGAGAACTCTAGCAAAGTAGAGTTGATTAAAAAAGAGCCAGACACACCTAAAGATTTAAAAATTGAATTGAATGAATGTAAAAATGAGGGAAAGTTGGAAAATGATGAGGTTCTTGATCATGTGAAGGAAATAGTAGATTTGGTTCAAAAACAGACTCCAGGGGTACAATTGGAAAATGGTGCATTACCTTCAAAAAAACATGACCTTGATGAGAGTAGTGCTTCATCAAAGAATATTGCAGATGATGGGAAAAAACAGCAGTCTAGTGGAGAACACAACAAAACTGAGAATTATGGGAAAGTAGCTGCAAGGATCAAGAACTTTGACAAGTACATTGGAAAGGTAAACAAATAGATTATGTGCACTTTCAAAAGTAAGCCTTATGATTAATTTGTCTTCTTTTTTTTGCATTTGTATTTCAAAACCAAAACTTTTTTCCAGTTGGATGCAGTTTTGGAAAGATGACAATTACTTATACAATATCTGATGATCCTGTTTTTATAAAATGGTCAAGAATAAATTCCAAAAAAATTGAGCTAGGTAATTTCTGTATTTAGGTTTCAAATGTAGTGAAGGAGGCACTGATTGAAATGTATTCTGAAGTAGCAGAGGAATCAGTGGAAGATGAAACAAAAAAAGTGATGAAAGGATTCCAAGATGAAGTTGAGTTTCTAAAGTGGAGGCACACAAGAGAACTAGAGGAATTCAAACATGTAGCTGGTAAGAACTATGCTAAATTTCTGACGATTAACCTGCATGGGCTTCTAAGGTTACTGTTTTTTTTTAAATGTAGAAACTTTTTCCAAAATTTGCGATGATATGCACATGTAAATAATTGTGAATTTCATTGGATATTTCTGCGATGGAAGTCATGTTAAAATCATCAGTTCCACAGCATGGGGACTGCTCAGATATCATATATGTAAATCATCAATTGGCCAATTTGTAACCTGTGTTTTCTTTGGTGATAGATAAGAATGTGCATTATCCAGACATCTCACTCATAGACTACCGATCTCACTGCTGGTTTGTGCATTTTATTTACAATTTACTATAATATGTTCATCTGTTAATAACAAAGTCATAAAACTTCCGGTACACCATGTGTAATAATATGGTTTGGCGATTAAACCACTGGTTGGCTGTCTCGACGTTTCGGTGAGATTGCTCTGACCGTCATCAGGAGAATGATAAAAGATGACTTCTGTTGGTTTTAATTAGAGATGGTAATCATCGGTGATCTATTGTTTCCCTTGAAACAACCAGTGGTTTTACCTCAAAACCATATTTTTACAAATGGTGTACCCAAAGTTTTATGATTTTGTTATCGATACTCGCCATGCAAACTTTCAAGAATTATTTCATCTGTTAATTCATTAATTCCGTTTTCTTTACACTTCACAGCCTTAACTATAGCTGAGATGCGAAGCACATTTGATCATGATAAGGCCATGGCATTGGAAACACTAAAGAAACAGATGGAAGCTGAGAAACAAACTGCAATTGATCTTACCAAAAAGAAACAGTGGGTAAGAATGAAAATGTCTTTGTATAGTTAGTAGGTAATTGTGGGGCACACCAGAAAGCATTTGGCTTCCTTTTGAAAAATCATGATTTCAAGTGTGAAGTTGGTGCCTTGATGATGTTATTATTCAATTAAGTCCTATACCTTCATACTTTAAGAGTATTGCATAGCAGGCCTGTAGGAGGGGGGTGCAGAGGGTGCAGACACCCCCCCCCAATTCGAAAAGGTCCACTTTTTGAAACCTATTATTTCACAAAAATCATTCCTAATTATTACTAAATGCTATGGCATGCATTGCATTATATATTTGCCAGCTCTTCTAACTGTTGATTTTTAATAATGAAATTTTTGGAAATCATTAACTTCACAGTGGTTTCAAGAAAAGAAATGAAGAAAAAAGAAAAATTATAATTAGATTTAGGTCTGAGAGTGCCATTTATGTCCATGTAGAGGTGCCATAATCATAAATTATAGGCCATCGGTCTGTGAAAGTTCCTACCTTTCTCTCCCCCTTCCCCCACCCCCATATTTTTAATTCCTGGATCCGCCACTGCTTTAGGTCCCTAAACAATACCCAAATTAATGAAAAATTCAGAAATCCATTATAATGCCCTCAAAATTCTAACTTACCAGAGCTTCCTGTGATTCGCCCCACCCCTGCGGGGAACCCTAGGTAGTCGTCCCCCCCCCCCATCCTAAGGTCTGCTTCACTTGCAAAATTCACCGCCCCATCAAATATCCTGTCTACGGGCCTGCATAGTCCCATAATTTAATTAAATACCATGTCGTTGACAACACAACACCATATGACACCCCTTCGTTACTGAACAACATTGTGTAAATGGGGGAAAAAAGACGAGAAAAGTTCATCTTTTTCATCATATACACATTGATATACAGCAATACATTTTATTTTTTTCAGTGTGCTAACTGTGAGAAAGAAGCTGTATTCTATTGTTGTTGGAACACTAGTTACTGTGACTACCCATGTCAACAAAAACATTGGCCTGCACACATGAAGACCTGTCAACAGTTGGGAACTACAGAAAATACTGACAAGACACCCAAAGTAAGAAACTATAGAGATACGGTGAAACTTACATTTTAGCTTGATAAAGTTCAGTTCAGTTTATGTGCTATTAATTAAAACTATATATCATGGGGTAGGGACTTTACTCCATTAAAGTTCTATTGACCTTCATACTCCAAGCCTAATTAAACTATACATCATGGGGTAGGGACATTACTCCACTAAGGTCCAAATGACCTTCATATGCCACCTAATTGGACTATGTGTCATGGGGTAGGAACGTTAATCCACTATGGTCCTACTGAACTCATGATTAATTGAACATAAGAGATTTGAAAAATCCACAACACTGAATTTAAATTAAAAACAACAGATAAATACAGAAAATTGATATAATAATATAAAGATATTATAAATTTGTATTATATTTCATAATAACTTTTTTTTCATTAATATGAGTTAATTTATACATTTTTTATGTTTTCAGTCTTCAGTCACAATCCAGTCCCCAATTATGAAGCCAACAGTTTCTCATTCACATGTCTTGGACACTACAGTACAAAACAACCCGGTAAATATAAAATATTAATCCAAATATTATATCAAATTCTGCCTATGAATAATATACCTCCATGATATTACAGTGAGTTTCTAATATTTTAATATTGGTTTTAGATAATACAGTTGTGTTACTGTATGTCTTTAACTATTTACTGCCAATATCCTAAGGATGTTTTTATATATTTTATTTTAGCAACTGGGAAATAGAGCACGTCCGATGCAAATCATACCAGCTGTCCCAAGCAGTGCAAACAAGCTTCAAACACTAATACAGTATGTCCAAGCACCCCATGGAGCAAACTTACAAACAACCCAAATAAGAGGTGGCAACCCGAGGTTGGCCGCGCCCAATCCTGCAGGATTATACCGTCTGGAGCCAGTACAACAAATTCCCGTTTTACGTCCTCAGAATAATATCATAAGGAACGTGGTTGGAAATCGGGGTCAGCCGGTGATTCTGCGTCCTAACACAATCCATCAGCTTCCAAGTTTAAATCAGCGTTTGTAATTGAATTTCTATGACATCCATTGTTAACCATTCCAAATATCTTCATTTATTTAAATAATTTTGATCACAAAGACCTAAAGCTTAGTATTTGTTTTAAGTACATTGGAAAATCATGTTATCAGCAATATTACTTTTGGTTTTGATTAAAAAATCTTAATAATGTCACCACATTTCAAGTAGAGCTTTGTCCACACTATCAAGATGTAAAAATAGCGTTGATTTGACTGATATGGATTTGATACATTATGCTCATATGGGTTGAGGAGCATTATGATGTCATCAGAGCCATACAAATCACAAATATTTATAACTTGGTAATGTGGACATAGTTTTATATACAGAATACAGAAATAAACTGCTATGGGGATAACCCCCACAATGTTTCTTGCATTACTGTTCCAACACTGCCTATTGAGTGAAACTGCCCTAGTTGACCTAGATGACAATTGGTTGTACCCAGTGCAACAAATGCTTTCCTAGTGCCTGAACAAAACTGCACAATACATACGTACTTTGAATTGTCCAAAAATTACTTGCACCCACCAGTCGCCTCCCCCCACAAAAAAAAAAAACGCTTGCAAGTAGTTAAAAATGACCATATTTCATGAGTTAGTGCCCCTCAACTGTTCACGGAGCTCCCCTTATACACATCACCACTTCACCTTCATTACTCCCATCAGCAAGACTTCTAGATACACCACTGGAAGTAACAGATTTGTAGAACTGCAGATGATACTGGATTTAGCTAAATATGATCACTGGAGGTGTTCCAATGGATTCTGTCTAACCCTCTAGCTAATAGCAGTGACAATACCTCAACTGTTTTGGTTAACCTCCATGAACTGTAAATAAGCCACTTTTGAAATATACAAATAACTGTATGTACATTATGTTTTTGTATTATCTGGTTCATGTATACTGTAGGATTACAAACAAATCAATGTATATAGTAATATGCAGTTTAAAAATGATACTGTATCATGTTTGTTACTTCTTTACCTTTCTACGTTAGAACTAGAAAAACAACTTAGTTACACACTTGCTTGTTAAAGAATTGCAAGAATGTGTCGTATTCAAAAATAAATCTTTTTGTTTTTATAAATGCTTTGTTGGCATCAAAATGTTTTTGCAAAGTTTAATGTTGTAGTTGAAATAAATAATGCTTTGAAAAAGTATTGGATGAGCTTACTCTTTATATTGGATTTGATTTTTGTTTTCTGTGAAACACATTTTTTTTTTCTGTGAAACACAAAGTATAATCCACGAGGGTCCAAGGGGGTGGTGAATTAGGTAGACAACCCCTACTGTTTTGTTTTTTTTTTTTTGTTTTTTTTAGAAACCCCATGCTCTTTATGATTCTAAATAGGATTATACATCAAGGGCCTCATTTGTTACATAACTCGCCAGTTAAACGACGCTTTATAAATCTGCGAGGTTTATATAGTCCATGGGCTGAAAACACCACCTGCTTTATATCCAGTGGTGGATCCAGGAATTCGAAATAGAGGGCCTATACACTTCAGCCCCAACCATGGGTTGTAGGTGCCATATGACCATGGCATCTCTGAGCATTACGTCCGCTTGGGGCTGTGGGAGGGCCTGGTGGTGAAGTTTCGTCGGATCAACGCGATATTGTCAAAATCCAGTTTGCCGAATCACAGATTGCCTAGTCCACTTTAACGAAACCCAATTTGCCGTCAATCAAAAACAGTGAAACAATAAAAACAGCATGACATGGTGATGGTCTTTTACCGAGACTGCGTCTGGAACTGGTTAAGCCAGCGGAAAGTAAGGGCATAGACATAAATATCTATTTATTCATCCATAATTGGATAAAAGAAAGAAAATTAGCCTACATGATTTATCGGGAAAAAAAGAAACTATAACATGTCTATTGTTAGAGGAAAATTCCAGAATTGCGAAATTGAGAATTTAGAAGCCTTCCAATGCGAAGTGCGATGCGATCTCTGTTTATTCGTATAATAAATAACTGCTTATTGTAGTTTGATTAGTTTTGTCTTATTCTGTAAATCAAACTTGATTAACAATTTAGCTATCAGCAAAAAAAAATAATTAAATAGGCCTGTCAGATAAAATGTCTTATAAGCATATTTATAATAAGTGTATAAAGTTTAATTAAGATCAGGGACGTATACAGTGGGGGGGGGGAAGCCGTGGGAACCGCAGCCTTCCCCCACCCCCCACCCCCTCTCCTCTGTACACAGTGTTAACATTATAAAGCTTGTTCTTGCTAGCCAATAAAAGTTCTTTCCAAGGATCACTCAAAATAAATACTTCTAATCTATGTAAATATGCATCAGCACACGTTATACATAGGTCTACTATAATAACACATAGGCAGTGATTTTTAAAAAAATCTTAAATCCGTAAGTCCCAGGCCAGGTCTTTCAGATACAGAAATGTGATATTGTATGGTTCAGTTTGGTTTTTATCCCTTTGTAAGCTCTACAAAGTTTTGTTTTAATACTACAATACTACTAGTAGTAATATTATAATAATAATTGTTATTATTATAATTGTTATTATTATTATTATTATTATTATTATTATGGTGGAGATAATAGATAATAATATTAATATTAAAAAGTGAAGAAAATTGTGCTAAAGGCGAAAAAGTAAATTGTGATGATTGATAAAGATCATGAGAAATTTGTTGGCGCTTCAGTTTGTCTATATTATAATGAAGATGATGTGATGATGGTGAATTTACTATATAAAAGTGTAATTTCCGGCCATCAAGAAGTACTATTTCCTCAAATTTCGCACCTCAGCCCTAAGCATGGTGGGGCTGAGGTAGCTGTGAATTCACGGCTTTGATGTATGTAAAGTACATACTCAAAAACAATGTTTATAAGCTTTATTTTCTATAGTAAATCACACATATTAAGATCTCTATGGTTGCCGAAAATCCCTGATAAAAGATCATGAGAAATTTGTTGGCGCTTCATTTTAAGTAGGCCTATATATATAATAATGGTGATGTGATGATGATGATGATGAATTTTACTAAAAATGTCATTTTCTGGTCATATAGATGTAATATTTCCTCAAAGTCCTCCACCTTTCAAAACAGATTGCGCCCTTCCTGGGTATGACATTAAACTCCATCGAGTCGACACCTGACTCAGAGTATGTCTTAGTGACTCCTGATGAGGCGAGAATGCATAAATTTGTTTTTAGTATGTGATCTGGTTTTACATGCTAATTTTACGTGTTTATGAATATTTTTGGATAACGAATCTTTTGAGCAGTGGTGGATTCAAGGGCCCCTCCGCTAAATTTTTAATGAAAAAAAAAAGAAAAATATAGCCCCCCTCCCCTATCCAAATTGAAGTCTGAGAGTATAATTTCCGGCCATCTAGAGGTGCCCTACTCATAAATTTTCTTACCCCATGGTGGGGCTGAGGTAGGTGGTTCCTCAATCAGTAAAAGTCCCTCCCTGGGTCACCTCTCTATTGAATTCCTGGATCCACCACTGTTGAGTTTTATATAATTATGTGGATAGGCAAATTATCATTTTTGGTCCCGGACGATTTCGTCAAATAAACGCCCTGAGGCGTTAATTGTTGGGAATGGTTTTTGAGGGTAAGTTTATTTGAGGGAGGTGTTTATTTGAGGCTGGCATTTATTTTTTTGTGTAAAATGGATACGTACTGTAGGCCTATTATTCACAATCGCCCCATAATTCCACTGTAATCAAAATGTAATTCTACTGGAGTAAAACATTAGTAGAAAGTGTTGGGAATTCCATTAGATCAGTGTTTACAGTCAAGGGGGAGTTTATTCGAGGAAAAAATATACGCCACGTGATGTTTTCGAAAGAGGCGTTTACTCCAAATAAGGCTCTAGAAGAGGGATTTATTTAAAGTGGAGCGTTTACACGGGTACAAATAGGGAAATGTAAATATCATGGCCCCTCCCTGATCCACCCATCATGTTTTCAAAAGCACAGTATGCTGTAGGCCTACTTTTGTACGATGGTGACGGCAAATGATTCGGCAAACTGGCTTTCGGCAAATTGGGTTGTCATGATTTCGGTGAACTGGATTCGGCCATTAATTCGGCAATCATGGGTTTCGGCAAACTGGATTTTGACAAACTGGTCGGATACCGTTTCGGCCCCAGTGTTAGACCAATTCAAGGGTGGACGTTAATAAGGGGTGAGCGCTAAACTAATAATTTGTATGTTTAGCCTGGTAGGGCACTACTGTCCTTGGCAGCAATTTGCCTCAGATACCTGGTTGGTTGTGCACCTGTCTCATAATATCCAAATTACGGTTGAAGCAATCGTGTATGTGAACTACCGGAACTGTGTTGTAGACACGTCGTCGCAAAACATCTTCTGAAATATTGAATTTTGGAATGGTGTTTCTTCTAAGTAAAGAAATATACATATAGGTAGGTAGAAAGTGCACCATACTGTAGTTGTACAAGCCTGTATGCCTTCATAGTGTTAGATTTAATTGCGGTATCCATTTCTAAAATTTTTTTGAGTCATTTTCATACAATGGTATTAAACCGGAATATCTGAGTGAAAATGTAAACAACAGTAAAAAACGGAGCTAAAGATTTGTTGTGTAATGACATAGTCGTAGGCACATGTTTTTGCAACCTATATTCAAAATGTAAATCTAAGTACTATTTAAAAATAGGCTAAGTGAAATCATTTTAATTAATTTATTAAAGTGTAATATTATTTATATATTGACTTAAAAACGATCCTTGGGTCGTAAAATGCCTTTTACGACCATTTAAATACAGTAGGCCTATTATAACAATTGCTAAATATATAAAGTCATGATCTTAATACCATTAATGTTCTCAAAATCATTGTCTGTATATACATTCTAGAATTTTTCTATCTAAATCATTTAATAAAGTGTAATATTATTTATATAGTGACTTAAAAACGATCTATGGGTCATAAAACTTTTATTTAAATAGGCCGATAACAATCGCATAAAATACACATTCATGAAAATTGAATGCAGCATAAAGTGGTCCTAATGCCGTTGATGTTCTCAAAATCTTGGTGTATTTATACAGTTTATTATTATTTCCTGTTTTAATTATATTACAAAAAAAGTGTGTGTGCATATGAGGTAGCTGCCATTGATTACACTTTATATTTTTTGTTGTTACAGTATGGCAACACTCCATTTCATGAATAGTTGCAAAGTGGCCATGAATACAAAGTTCACCAGGACGGAACCCAAACCTTGTTACATGCTGGAGCTGACCCGAGTCTATTGAACCAGGTAAATAATATAAAGATAGATAAATAATAATCTCAGATAGGAACATAAAATGTAATGATCATGCCAAATGGTGAGGGTTCACCTAAAACTCCAGATTCAGTGAAGGGGAAAAGCAGGTTGAACCACAGCTTTGTTATTATAGGACGATACAGGGGTCCGATAGAGTATTGGTTCAAATGTTAAGATTTAATATTCTCTTTTTTTGACCTTTTTCGATTTGGAGTGGGATGTTGGGGAGCGTGCTCACCCACTCATATTAAAATAATGCTTTATTAACATGTACACCTTACATAATGTATTAAATCAATCAAACAATCAATTTTATTTCTGAATTTGTATTTGTATTCCTATACCTCATGAAAGTATGAATGTCATAAAGTTTCCAAAAAGTGTTTTTTAATCTAATGAGATTTATACTTAATTAGGCCTAACTTCACAGATGCCAAAATGAAAATAGTTTGAATGTATTTTCACTAGTTCAATCTCTTTTATTTCAGTGCCTCATGTTAAATCCACCGATCCACCAATAAGTGCCAAGTCGATGTACAGTTATGGTCAGAGCGGAACACGATGTGTATCTTATCTTATCTTATCTTATTAAATTGCCGGAACACAAGATGATATCAATAGCCGGATTTATGTGGTCTTAATTCTACAAATCGCGAGGGGATATTTATTAGGATTTATATCTCTGGATCGCCGGAATTGAATCAAATTTGCCAATTATGTTTCTTATACAACGAACAAGTAATTCTCGAACGATATTACATACTTAAATATAATTAGGTCTAAGCATTATATATATATATATATATATATATATATATTATATAAAACTAGAATCTTTATATTCTATTTATATTACGTTTATATATAGGCCTATATATTATACTATATTATATAAAAATAGAATCTTAATATTCTATTTATATTACGTTTGTATAGTTCTGATGTAACATTTCCGAGTAAGAAATAAATGTAAACTGTACATTTATAATACATCATTGTGTGTACTTCCTTTGTCGTAATTGCATTAATAATAATATTATATAGTTCATGATTATTAATCAGTAGCCCTATATAATCGAATTAAATATATTACAATCACTTCGATTCAAATATAGCACTATTACAGGCTATTATATCTTATAAACACTCTTTCACATGACACCAACAAATTACGAAACTTTTCAGAGCAAGGTGCTGTCGAATTTTTCAAAACAGGAAATGACGTCAGTTGCTAGGCTACAGCTCATGCATATTCAGTAACACCTGTGCTCATTAGACTAACAATAAAAACTTTTAGCTCAGTTTTGACAAAATCGACCAAAAAGATTTTATTGTTAGTCTAATTAGAACAGGTGTCACTGAATATTCATGATTATGCATGAGCTTGTTGCTCAGCAACCACGTCATTTCCGGTTTTATGTTTTTCTTGAAGGCGTCCTTAAAATAATTGCTAGTTTAATAGCACATATAGATGAAGCAGTTCTTTACTTTTCGTTTAGGCTTATAAGCTTATTATAATAAGGATGTTTTAGCTATTGAATTTATTACAGTAAACATAGACATTATATAAGATGAGAAGAAATCCACAGTTTCATTTTATATTTATTTTTAAGCATTGAAATCATGTTGTGATATAATTATATATACATTTTATATTTATATACTGTAGGCCTATATTATGTACGGTACATCCGGTAAAAATCAATAAATCTTATTTTAATCCTCAAAATGTTATATCTTATTATTTTACATGTCTATATTCTTTACAACAAAGGGGTTACTTTCTCTATATTATAAAATAAACATTAGCAGTAATAATAAAATATATATAAACATAAAGCCTACAAAAATTACTACATATTACTAACATTTATTTTTGAGATTATTGCAGAGGAAACATTTAAAAAATAGAATTTACACTATTTTAATTAATTTCATATCCAGAAATTCTTGCCCGGAAATCAGAGCTGGCAGGAAGCTTGATGAGTGACACAATTTTTGGCTATCTATGAATACTTGGTAAGTTCTGTTGCCCTTTCACGATTGAGTCCGGATATTATTTCCTGATAGTTGTGGCTTCTTTGTCTACATCACTGGATTAGAAAAATATTGAGAAAAGATTTTGAAACAGAGAAAAAATTATAACGGAGTATCATCAAAACATAATATATTTATAAAAACAGAAGTAGAGCCAGTGGTTTAAAATAGAGAGGGCTCACGGGGAGAGACTTTGCCAGATGAAGGGTTCCCGCCACCTCAGCCCCACCATGGTTGGGGCTGAGGTAAAACAATTTCGATTATAGCACCGCTAGATGGCCAGAAATGGCACTCTCAGATTTTAAATTTGAATGTAATTTTCTTTTTTTCTCCAATTTTTTACCATTTTAAAAGATTTAGGGCAGGGGGTGGGGGGCAGGCCCGGCTGCCACCCCCACCCCCACGGGAGCACCCCAACCTGAACATTACGGTATCGTATTCAGTTATCGCAATGGACAATGCTGCTGATACAACATAATAGTACTTCACAATTCTTTATCATATCAGCATTATCATATTAAATATCAATTATTTATAGTATCATCATACCACGGAATGATGTGAGGATTATTAAATACATGGCATTGGACTAATACATCGCAATAGCGCAAACAAATTATGTTAGTATTCCGATTGTCATGGGTAAATACAATTTATAAAAAGTGTACTATTCGATAGAAATGAATGTATAGATTCATAAATACAGTATATTCAAACAATAAATATAATACTAAAACTATAATCTTCATACAAACATTTTTCATGATATAATATTTTTTGATTGATTGATTAAATTTATTCGATGCTCAACATGCATAAGCAAGATAACAAATGGACTGAGATCAAGAAAAGTAAAAATTACCGTAATGAGCATCAGGAACGCCCATTAGGCTGGAGTCCAGCCCATTTCCAATGAGGTCCAATTTAAATATACACTGTCGGTCTTGAGCTAAAAGATAAACAATTTAATTCCACAACTGAATAATTATATTTAAACAAAATTACAATTAAATATATTAATAACAAAATTGTTTTCCTGTCAATTAACAGACAGTTAAATGTTACCAGTGGTATATTCTTATTTATACATAGACTCTATAGACTGTCGATTTAAGGATTTTTAACAATTCTGATCGGGGTCTAAAACAAGGGGACGCCTAGAGCCTAGTTCAGGGCCCCGGCCGGATTAAAATCCCTGAGGTGAAGTTCATGGGGACAAATCTTACGCCACAGGTTCGCCAATGTGATTTTTTAACACAATTGGATTTGCTATCAAAATATATATTTGTTTGGATCGGCAAATTAATGTCGTAGAGTCGGACGAGGGAGTTGATGTTAGTTTATAATTTACGGTAACTCGGATT